CAACTTATCCTTCACCTTAGAAAGGGTATCTCGAAATGCCTCACACTAGATGCCTAGAAATTGTCCTATGTAGAAGGTGGTCCTGAATTTTAGTGAGATTTCCCACCTTCTGACAAGCAAGTATTCTACCAATGAGTCTAGAGTAGTCACTACTTCTTGCTCACAGGTCCAATTGATATAATGTCACCAATGTATTGGACCAGAGTGATCTCTTGTGGAACAGAAAGCTGATCAAAATCCTGTAAACTAAACTATGATGTAGGTTTGGAGAGTTTATATACCCATGAGGTAGGACAGTGAAGGTGTATTGCTGGTCTTGCTGGCTGAAAACAAACTTGTTTCAGGTGGTCTTTACTAAGGGGTATGAAGAAAAAAGCATTTGCCAGATCAATAGCTGCATACCAGGTACGAGGATATGTGTTAACTTGCTCAAGCAATAGAACTGCCTCTGGTTGGAGTCATCACCCAGTTAAGCTTATGATAATCTATTCTTTCTCCAAAATCCGTATCTTCTGCAAAAGCCAGACAGGTGAGTTGAAGGGGGATGGAGTGGAAATTATTTCTGCATACTTTAAGACCTTGATGGTGGCACTAATTTCTGGCATCCTCCCAGGAATGCAATATTGATTTTGGTTTATCATTTTCCTAGGTAGAGGCAGTTCTAGTGGCTTCCACTTGAACTTTCCCACTATTATAGCCCTCACTCAAGTCAGAGAACCAATATGGTTGGTTCTCTGTGTCCGCTGCTGAGTGTATCTATTCCAATTATGCATTCCCGAACTGCATAGTGAAATAACCACAGGATGGTTTCAGGGATCCCTGGAGCCACTGTGAGACAGACTGGAGCTAAAACTCCATTGATCACCTGATCTCCATAAGCTCCTACTCCAATTGGAAGACCACAGTGACATTTTAGTTACCTGGAACTACTGTCAGCTTAGAGTCTGTGTCCAGTAATCTTCAAAAGGTTTGATTATCTTTTTCCCAATGTAGTTACTAGTAAAAGGCCATAGATCCTTCTGGGAAAGGCTGGGAGAAAGATTTAACAGTATATATCTTTGACAGTGCAGTGGGATCCTTCCTCAAGGGGACTTGGTCTCCCTTTCATTTGAGGGGTTCTGGGTCTGTAAACCAGTTCAAATCTGGGAATTGATAGAGGGGCCATAATTCTGGTTTTATTATTCAAATTAGATTTGTTCACTTAACCTAAAACTCTTCTGCTTATATAGATCAAGTTAGAATTTAATAGATTCCCCACGTATTTCACCTCGAGGAACTCCATGATCACCTAGCCAAACCATATCTCTGTGAGTCAGACTTGTTTTTTTGTTTTTTTTTTTGTTTGTTTGTTTGTTTTTGGAGACAGAGTCTTGCTCTGTCACCTAGGCTGGAGTGCAGTGGCACCATCTCAGCTCACTGAAGCCTCTGCCTCCTGGGTTCAAGCAATTCTCCTGCCTCAGCCTCCCAAGTAGCTGGGACTACAGATGCGCACCACCACACCAGGTTAATTTTTGTATTTTTGGTAGAGACAGGCTTTCACCATGTTGGCCAGGCTGATTTCAAACTCTTGGCCTCAAGTGATCTGCCTACCTCGGCTTCCCAAAGTGCTGGGATTACAGGTGTGAGCCACTGTGTCTGGCCTAGTCAGACAATTCTGATTGCTGCTTTAACTCTGCTGTCCATTACAGTAACCATTTGAACTACTTCCTCTATAGTATACCAAGGCAGGACTGGCATTTCAACTTCATTTAGGGCAAATTTTGGTTCATGTTTCAACCAAGCAACCAACCAGCTAGCGCAGGATCTTTTTGATCCCCCATGCTGCAATATTAAATCCAAAATCTCTGCTTTGTGGGCCCCTATCAATAAACACTGCCTGATCCAACTTTATGTTCCTTCCACCATTACGTACCCTAATATCCATTTCCACACATATTCTCAAATGGGAAGAGTCATGTAGTTCTTTTTGAGTGTAGCACACCTCCTATATCTCACTTAGTACCTCACCTTTGGGGCCTGCTGGGACTTGGATCTAGTTACAGGTTTAGAAGGAAAGAGGGGTGGTCAGGGTGGGTCCTGAGGACAATCACCAGAGTCCTGTAAGGCAATTATCTCAGAGGAAGACATTAGTTTCCTCAGGGAAAGCAGTTAATGTCAATTAGATATAATCAGATTGGGTAAATCAGTTATCTCTGCTTCTACTGGCAATGAAGACGCATCAGAATTTAGAGATTCAATATTACCAGCTTCATCAGGATCTTCCCATGAGTCATCATTCCAATTTTCATGATCCCATTCATTCCCAGTCAATATCCTCACTTTAGTAGCAAAGGTACCCTGCAAGGCTGGGAATTCAATTTGCATTGTAACTCAGGCACTTGCAAAATGAGATTCTGGGTTTGGTTTCAGAAATCTCAACTCTGCAGCTACAGAAGGTAAAGTTTCTTTCAAACCAGACAGACAAATGTTCAGGTCTAGTACTTAAGTTGAGAATTCAAATCCCTGAAGTCATCCTTTTCTTTCTCCAAGTTATCCAGTGCAATTAAGAGCAAGCAGCCAATCTTATTAGTTTGACAAAAAGGTTTGAAGGTATACATATATCTCTGTCAAAACATTAACTGAACATGCACTAAAGGAACAAAGACTTTGGCGATTATACGTGATAAAGAATAGTCTCTGCAAAATTAGTTTGGGCTGGGCACTGTGGCTCACACTTGTAATGCCAGCTCTTTAGGGGGCTGAGGTGGGTGGATCAGTTGAGGCCAGGAGTTCGACACCAGCCTGGCCAACATAGCGAAACCCCATTTCTACTAAAAACACAACAAATAGCCAGACATGGTGGTCCACACCTGTAATCTCAGCTACTCAGGGGACTAAGGCATGAGAATTGCGTGAATCCAGAGGCAGAGGATGCGGTTAGCCGAGATCACACCACTGCATTCTGGCCTGGGTGACACAGCGAGACACTGTCTTAAAAAAAAAGTTTGGAAATGTCTCAAATGGAATACTACAGTCTTCAACATAGCAATGAAACAAAAAACAGTAAGCTCTGGAGTAGAAGAATCTGATTACTGGAGTTACCTCATTATAATAGTCAATTTCAACAACAAAAATCACAAGGCATACAAAATAAAAGAAAGAAAACATGGCCCATTCAAAGTAACAAGAAAAAATGACAGACACCATCCCTGAGAAAGCCAAGACATTGGATTTCCTCAACAAAGACATTAAAACAACTGTATTAAATATACTCAAAGAGCTAAAGGAAAAGATGAACAAATAAATAAAGGAAATCAGAAAAACAATTATTAACAAAATCAGAATATCAACAGAGACAAAAATTACAAAGAAGAATAAAAATTCTGGAGTTGAAAAGAATAACTGAAATGAAAAATTCACTAGAGGAGCACAATAGATTTGGGCAGGAAGAAGAGAGAATCAGAAAACTGGAAGATAGGACACTGAAATTATCAAGTCTGGGAATAGAAAGAAAAAATAAAGAAAAGTAAATAACGCCTAACAGACCTATGGAAGACCATGAAGTCGACCAATAGATGCACTATGGAAGTCCCTATAAGGAGAGAGAAAAGGGAAGAAAAATTATCTAAATAATGGCCAAAAACAACCCAAATTTAACAAAAGACGTGAATCTACAAATCCAGTAAGCCCAGTAAGTCCCAAGTAAGATAAACTCAGAGACCCACACCAAGACACATTATAATGAAATTGTCAAGTCACTAAGATGGCTATTATAAAAAATATGAGCTGGGTGTGGTGACTCACACCTGTAACCCCAAGACTTTGAGAGGCTGAGATGGGAGGATTGTTTGAGCCCAGGAGATCGAGGCTGCAGTGAGCTATGATGGTACCACTGCACTCCAGCCTGGGCAACAGAGCAAGACCTTGTATCGAAAAACGAAAACAAAACAAAAACAAAAATATAAAAAGTAAGTGTTGGTGAAGATGTGGAGAAAATGGTACCCTATTGTATTGCTGGTGGAAATGTAAAATAATGTAGCTGCTATGGAAAAGTTTGGTAGTTCCTCAAAAAGTTAAAGATAGAATTACCATAATTTCCAGCAACTGTATACATAACCACACATACCCATGTATACCCCTGTATACATACCCAAACGAATTGAAAGCAGGAACTCAATAGATACTTTTAAGCCAGTGTTCACAACAGCATTAGTCAAAATTCCTTAAAAGGAGGAAAGAACCCAAATGTCCATCAAAAGATAAGTGGATTAACAAAGTGTGGTAGCCTAGGTGTGGAGACTCATGTATGTAATTCCAGCACTTTGGGAGGCTGAGGCAAGTAGATCCTCTGAGACCAGCCTGGCCAACATGGTGAAACCCTGTCTCTACCAAAAATACAAAAATTATCCTGGCATGGTGGCATGCACCTATAGTCCCAGCTACTTGGGAAGCTGAGACACAAGAATCACTTATCACTTGAACCCAGGATGTAGACGCTGTAGTGAGCCAAGCCAAGATCGTACAGCCTGGATGACAGAGCAAGACTCTGTCTCAAAAAAAAAAAAAAAGTGTGGCATACATAAAGAATGAAATTTGGATACATGCTATAAACTGTGAAAACATTATGCTAAATGAAATAAGCCAGACATGTATTCCATTTATACGAGGTACCTAGAATAGGCATATTCATAGAGACAGAAAGTAGAATAGAAGTCACCAGGGACTTAGGGGCAGGGAAATGAGGAGTTAAGGTTCTTATTGATACAGAGTTTCTGTTCGGGATGATGAAGTTCGGGAAACAAATAGTGGTGATGGTAGTATAACACTGTGAATGTGCTTAAGTCACTGAATTGTATGTTTAAACATAGGTAAAATGGTAAATTGTATGTTATATATATTTCACTACAAGAAAAAGATAAAGAAAAAGGCATAATTTCCTCCCCGAATTCTCAAAGAACAGAAAATTTTTTTTCAAATTTGACTTTTTTATGAAAGTAAACGACAAAATTAATCTCATACAATCACTTAGAAATGTTTAGCTTTATTTCAGAATAACCTATAGGACCATATCCAAATAAAGGTCCTATCAGTACTTCTCAAGAGTTATCACTCAGTTTTGCTTCTAGAGACCCACCAGTCAAAGCAGTAAAACTAAATCTCCTTAACAAAACTGAAGTCATCAGAAAATCAGTGCTAAAGGGGTGATGAAACTTTACTTAATCACTCCCTGTATGCAAGAAGACTTATTGCATTCCTAAAACTTCTACTTTGATTCCCAATATATGTTTTTTTTTTTCAAAAGCATCATTTTGGTGAAAATTCCAATATATGAGTTTAAAAAAAAAAATCATTATCATCGTAACAGTACTTTAAATCAATTATTCCTTTTGCCTGCAACAGGGTCCAGCAAAGCCTTACCACCTCAAGCAAAATCCACTACACCTATCTATGCTCAAGAAGTAGTTTGGCTACTGAAGACATGCTGGTCTCTTCCAAGCCTTTCCTCAGGATCCACACATCAGACATTCATCTCTATTCTCCAAAGAGCACACCATGGCTGCTGTGTTCCTCTCCTTCTCTTCTTCCTCCTTTGATACCTTTTCCTTATCTTTTAGCTTCTCCTTATTTAGAGTGAACTGGATTGGATTAGCCGCTGGTCTTGTCCTTAAATAATACATCCCAGTCTTCAAACCCTATAAGGAAAGTAAAGACAATGATTAGGAGAAACTCTGTGAGAATACTAGACATTCCTGGCTGGGCGCTGTGGCTCACGCCTGTAATCCCAGCACTTTGGGAGGCCAATGTGGGTGGATCACTTGAGGTCAGGAGTTTGAGACCAGCTTGGCCAATATGGTGAAACCCCGTCTCTACTAAAAATAAAAAATTACCCAAGAGGGGTATTGCATGCCTGTAAATTTCAGCTACTTAGGAGGCTGAGGTTGCAGTGAGCCAAGATTGTACCACTGTACTCCAGCCTGGGCAACAGAGCAAGACTCTGTCTAAAAAAATATAAAATAAAATAAAATAATAATATTAAAATAAAATAAAATAAAATGCATTCCTGGCCAGGCGCAGTGACTAACACCTGTAATCCTAGCACTTTGGGAGGCCGAGGCAGGTGAATTGCTTGAGACCAGCCTGGCCAATATGGCAAAACCCCATCTCTATTAAAAATACAAAAATTAGCCGGGCGTGGTAGCACACACCTGTGATCCCAGCTACTCAGGAGGCTAAGACACGAGAATCGCTTGAACCCAGGACAGAGGTTGCAGTGGGCCGAGATCACGCCACTGTACGCCAGCCTGGGCAACAGAGTGAGTCTCTGTCTCAAAATACATACATACATACATACATACTTACAGACAGACAGACATAAAATAAAACACATTCCCATGAACCAGATGAAACTTTTTTTAAACTTGGAATTCTATCTCCTCTAGGAGTACTCTCAAAAATGCTTTGCAAGTCAGATAGAAATACCCTGTTCTTTTCACCCCTAAAACAGGCTTATCTCTTTGGAAAGGTCAAACATTTTTATTCTTTTGTCTTTGTTTTTATGTATATGACTTCCAAGTTTGCCCAAGACAACATGTCTGCCTTAGGTTATAACTATTTAGAGAGCTAGACTGTGTCTCTGTATAACAACAGACTAAAAGACTTCAAAGATAAAGATCATCATCTTCTATTCAGTATCCTCAGTGCTGGCACCTACTGGATGTTCAATAGATGTTAAATTAAAAAACAAATTTATAATTCTACTTAAATACCCAATACATTATCAGGGAATAAGAACATAATCTAAAATTACCGACTTTACAGCTGGCAATGACTAGGCTAAGTAATCTGGCTTTCACTTTATAAGTGAGAAAACAATGGATGTTTTCGAACAGTGGGTTGAGGTGTGCAAAGTTTTATTTGAGGAATGGTGGTAATGCACACAAAATGGCTGGGAGCAGAGATATTAGAAGGAATAAGGTCAGTTTAGAATAACAGCAGCAGAAAAGGAAGGAAGATATTTAAGAAATAATACAAAGGAACAGTCAACATAACTTGGTAATTATACAGAGAGTAAAGGAAGGAAAGGATCACAGGTAACTCCAAGTTTTCAAACCTAAGAAGGAAATAAACCTAACAGAAACAAGAAAATCCAAGGCAAGACCTTGATCTGGTACAAAAACCATCGGTTGGTTTTAATATTCTGGATTTGAACTTAAAGAACTTCTAGGTGATATTTAATGGGTGGCTAGAACATAAAATCATTCCAATGCCAAAATATCTCAAGCTGGCAATTAAGTCCTCCTTGATATTCTCTACCAACCTGCTTCCAGCCGTAGAAGTGCATACTAGTGAGTTTGCCATAGTTAGGCTCAGCAATGTGGATATTCAAAGATTGGCTTTGATCAATGAAAGCACCTCTCTCAGCTGCCATCTTGAGAACGGTTTTCTGAGAGATTTCCCACACAGTTTTATAAAGTTGCTTCAGATCATCAGGAATTTCTGGTATGCTCTAAAGAAGGAAAACCAAATGTTTACTTTACTCCAGTTAAAGAAAGCAGTGTGTAATTAATAGAATAGTGACACAAGGTTTGACCCTGGTTTTACTTCCTTCCAGATCTGACCTTATTATTCAGTATCATATGATATGATCCTTATCAAGTTTACCAAGACTATTTAGGAAGTTGAACAAAACCCCATCTAACCAACCAAATATCAATCTGGTGACAGTAATTTCAGCATCCCTTTTCTGTTGGTTTTTGATTTCCAATATATCTGTTTTTGAGAATTAAAAATTGGTTTATGACCCAAACATTCATTCTTCTAGAGGCACTTAAAGAAAGGAAAAGTCAGAGCTAAGCAGCAATAAATGACCCTTGAGTTTTGCAGAAAACAGAAAAACCAAGGGCTGTAATTCACAGGGATCAAGGTAAGCAATGAGATAAAACCCTTTAAATAAGCTAGGATTCCAAACTCCCTTTGGAATCCAAATAAATCAGGTTTTCTTAGGTCTAGGGTTAACTTTCATTAAAACACACAGACTAGCTAATGCTAATTTCTGTCATCAAATATGGAACTGTTATAGGACTCATCATCTGTGTTGCTAAGCAGACCAACATTTAGCCAGACACCTCTATCTGCAAATAAATGCCTCTTGACTCTTAGTTGCAAATATTTACACTATTTGTGACTCTGTCTTTTGGACTATCAGTCCTCAACCATGATTTTTAATTAAGCTTGACTCTCTTAATTTCAGTCTATCGATGATCCCCCAAATTTTGATGTACTTTGGAATCACCAAAAGAATCTTTAAAAAGTATTAATGTCTGAGACCAGGCACGGTGGCTCATGCATGTAATCCTAGCACTCTGGGAGGCCAAGGCAGGCGGATCACCTGAGGTCAGGAGCCTAGCCAACATGGTGAAACCCCGTCTCTACTAAAAATATAAAAATCAGCCGGGCATGGTGGCAGGCACCTGTAATCCCAGCTACTTGGGAGGCTGAGGCAGGAGAATCATTTGAACCCAGGAAGCAGAGGTTGTAGTGAGCCATGATCCCACCACTGCACTCCAGCCTGGGCAACAGAGACTTTGTCTCAAAAAAAAAAAAAAAAATTGATGTCTGGCTCCTGCTCCTAAACATTTAATTGGTAAAGAATGCAACCTAAGCTTCAGAATTTTAAAAGTTCCCCAATTGATTCTAAGATGCAGAAAAATTGAGTACTACTATTTTATATTATTGCATAAAAACAAGATGGTAAGGGCTATGTAAAGATGTGTACAATCCTAGCACAACAATGAAGAGGTGAACACAGCTACATAAGCAAAGCCTAGATGAACACAATGAAGTTATTTTCTCCATTGTCTGGCATGAGTGAGGAGGTACCACAATGTCCAACTCAGCCCCTGCAGAGCACATTTCATTTTCATTCTATACCTGAATAGAGCCATTGCATGCAATAATCTGGTTTTTCATCTCTTCATGCCATAGGCCCCGCTCAGTAAGATCTTTCAGTAAGTGAGGATTTACAATCTGAATGGAAAAGCAGAAAATATATGAAGAAATAAACAACAGTGACAGCTTAGAAAAGACTACAGCTTTGAAGCTTAAACTAAAATCACTTAAGAATTATTTAATGCTAGATTGCTTGGTAAATTCTATTTTTATAAAAATGAGACATCAATGCCACCACACAAAAGCTATATTCCTTTAAGATCTTGACATCTGTTATTCAAGAAACAATATAATTAGCCAGGCATGGTGGCGCAGCACGCCTGTAATCCCAGCTACTTGGGAGGCTGAGGCATGGGAATTGCTTGAACCCGGGAGGCAGAGGTTGCAGTGAGCCAAGATCACACCACTGCACTCCAGCCTGGGTGACAAAGTGAGACACTTTCTCAAAAACAACATCAACAACAACAAAAACATTGTGGTGTGGTAATCATTATATAATATATACACATATCAAATCATTATACTGTATACCTTGGATTTATACACAATTTTTATTGTCAGTTATACCTTAATAAAGCCGAAAAAATATTTTAGTTAAAAAAGAAACATACAGCATTTGAAAAGTGAAAAGAATAGCGTCTAAGATGGGTAAATCTATAAATACTTAGGTTAAAAAAATTAGAAACGTATCCTTCTCAAACTTTACAGAACTTTATTTCAAGATATCTGGAAATTCACAAATAGTCTTTTAAATTGAGGTTCTCAAACCCTAGCTACACATAAGAATTACCTGGGAACCTTAAAAACAAAGAAACAAAAAACCACTGGTCTCACCCACCATAAATTCTAATTGGTAACCAAGTCTGAAAACCACTGCCTTAAATGATACTTCTTTACATATTTTGAGTATCCTAACTTAAGCATCTGGGGGAAGTTATAGAATACATCACTATGATTACATAATGATTAAACATTATGTTAACTCTACTATCAACAATTTACTTTCATACTTGACCCTCAGTAATTCATTTTTTCAACAGATTATTTATTAAATGCCTATTGTGCTGAAATATTAATAACAAATAATAATATTGGAGATGAAGATGACTCTCTTTATCAAAGCTTTGCACCCAAACTAAGAAAATGGGCAAATTAAACACGAGTGAGCATTTACTCCCAACATCAGGCTTTCAAAAAGTCTCCCTGTAGGGCTGGTTGTGAACTGCTCACCTGAAATTCTCCTGACAAGACTCTGCGAGTATAGATGTTGCTGGTGTAAGGTTCAATGGACTCATTATTCCCCAGGATCTGAGCAGTGGAAGCTGTAGGCATCGGGGCAATAAGTAAACTGTTTCTTATACCATACCTACAGAAAAGGAGATTATCAGCTACTAGTCCCAAAGCTACAATCTGCCAGGAAAGTAGTTACTTTAAGTCACTGTAGTAAATATAGATAAATGTAGTAAATGTAAATGTAACATCATACATGCATTGAACTCACATGTTGACTTTCAAATTAAACTACTACAGACAGGCAATTCCACAGTATGGGTGCTATTATAGCTCCCTCTCCTCTTAAATGTCTGACTCCTAAACTGAATTAGTATAATTTTTATTGTTGGCAATCCTTATCATGCCATGATTTATGCCACTTGGACTGTGGCACTCAGGAATCATAACACTTGATACACTATCTTGCCTAGGGAAACATTCAAAGTGCTGTTGAAGCGCTCCCCACCTGTATTAGGGTATGCTCATCCAACCCTCATTCTTTTCTAAGTGCCTATAATATCACTGTGCTAGGGCCCTTCTGGAAAAATAATAATGAGAAAGTGGTCAGAATGAGACAAATATCACCGTAATTCTCCATTATCCTGTAAACAGGAAGAAATTATGCTCAAAGTATATTCTTCAATTATAAGTTCCTGGAAGAAGGTTAACATCTTTTGACAAATCAATGCCCAAGAGTACTTAAGAGAGAATATACTATCTGACACACTGAGAAATCTCCCAACTGCCCCTAGCTCACCTTCAAAGCTCAGCCTAACTGATACCAATTTTAAAACATCTTTCCTGATCAGGAAGGCACAAATACAAATGTCAAATACAAATATCTGCTCTGCAAACATTTTCTCTGACTCGTACCTTTCCATACACCTTAACTACTTGTCTTCTTAGTCTCAAGTTTTTAAAACACAAAGAGCCTGTATTTCCTACATTCTATACCTATGGATTCATAAGACGCTTAGCATACAGCCTCATATCCTGATGGAGTCTGTACAACTGGATATAGTTTGGCTGTGTCCCCACCCAAATCTCATCTTGAATTGTAGTTCCCATAATCCCCACGTGTTATGGGAGGGACCTGGTGGGAGGTAATTTAATCACGGAGGAGGTTACCCTCATGCTGTTCTCATGATAGTGAGTTCTCACAAGATCTGGTTTTATAGGGGGCTTTTCTCCCTTTATTCAGTACTTCACTTGCCGCCATATTAAAGAAGGACCTGTTTGCCTTCCCTTCTGCTATGATTGTAAGTTTCCTGAGGCCTCCCCAACCCTGCAGAACTGTGAGTCAATTAAACCTCTTTCCTTTATAAATTACCCAGTCTCAGGCAGTTCTTTATAACAGTGTGAGAACTGATTAATACAACTGGGTTCTCTACTTTTTAGTTTTTATTATCTTTTCATTTACTTTTTTTGGGGGGTGTTTCTCCACCTTACTCTGTCACTTTGTAGTGAGGTATCAAGCAAACCACCAACTATCTTCATGTCTTTACTGCCTCATCTGTAAAATAGCAACACTATCTGTCTACAGACAGGAAACTGTTGTGAAAAGTCATACATATATGATATATTCAAACTATGGAATTGTCTGTAATAATTAAAAACATTAGGTAGATCTACATGTACTAAAAGAGAAAGAGCTCCAAAATAAATCACTAAATAACAAGTCTCAAAATACATCAAGTCTTTTTTTTTGAGACAGAGTCTCAGTCACCTAGGCTGGACTACAGTGCACAATGTCGGCTCCCTGTAATCTCCACCTCCTAGGTTCAAGTGATTCTCATGCCTCAGCCTCCCGAGTAGCTGGGATTACAGGCACGCGCCACCATGCCCAGCTAATTTTTGTATTTTTAGTAGAGACGAAGTTTCGCCATGTTGCCCAAGCTGGTCTTGAACTTCTGATCTCAAGTGATCCGACCACCTCAGCCTCTCAAAGTGCTGGGATTACAGATGTGAGCCACGGTGCCCAGCCCAGAATACAAGTTCCATCACATTTATGTGACAAAACCGTGTGTGTGTACCTATCCGCAAATGTACTGAAAAAGATCTAGAAAAATACACTCCATTAACAAGGCTTATCTCTGAGAAAAAGAATAAGTTACTTTTTTGGTTTGTTTTCTGAGACAAATGGTTGGCAGAAGTATGAAGAAGGGCTTTTACTCTCTATTTTGTTTCTGCATTTGAGCTTTATTAATAATAAATTTGTGTTCATATACTAATTTTGAAATTAGAAAAAAAAAGTCATGTATATAAAAACCTAGGCCATAGTATTTTGAGGGGGGAAAAAAAAAAAATATATATATATATAAATATAAATATAGTACAGGTCCATTTTCTTAAAAGTTGAATTTCCCATGTAAATACACTCTTGGAAGTGTGTGTGTACTCTTGGAAGAAAACCGAAAGGATGATAAGATGCACACAGGGTTTCTGGGGGAGGCAGTATTAGTATAATTTTCATTTTCTCTTTCCAAATCTATGTTTTCCTAAATTTTCTAACATGTATTATTTGACTAGGAAAACAATTTTAATTTAACAATTTTAAGGCAAACAGTTATTTTTTTTAAAGAGCATTTTAAAGCTACTGCTTCATTCTCCAAATATTAATCACTTTGCATATGCATTAACCCATAAATGACAAAGTCATCACGATAGAAAACAAAAACAATTTGCTTTGTTATTCACTCTGCAAAACATTCTGCCTGCCTTCGAATCCATTATGCTTATTAATTTGAAAGGTCTACAAAAACTCAATTTTAAAACTTTTCTTTCCTATAGTTAAAACACATTACCCTCCAAAAACTCTTCCAAAATCCCTTATTCCTATGACAAAATCCCTTATTCCTATGACAATCAATTCAAACAAAAGCCATTTATATGGCCGATGTAACTAAATTGGGAAATAAATAAGAATCAAAAACATTTAAAAAAAAAAAAAAGCATAGTTGGAAAAAAGCCTTAATGAGAAAGAAAATTACCTAATCTAGGTGTGTTAAGTTCCTAAAATAAGATCAACTAATAATAGCAATTCCTACCATGTACTGAAATGCTTTCATTGTGCCAAGCAACTTGCAGGTTGCTATATATAGATTATCTTACAAAGTTTTTTCCCAAATAGTTTTGTGAGATAGGCCATTTTAGCCCCATTTGTAATAAATGAGTTTAAGAAGTTAAAATGACATATCTAACTTCTGAAGATCCAGAAGGTGAACCTAAACCCTTCTGCCTTCAAAGCTACTTTACATCTCTTCACTTACTTTGCAATGTTCTCCTTGAGAAGGTTCCAGTCCCATAGGTCTGTAGGAGTAACATTCCACATATCATACTGAAGAATCTAAGGAATACACAACTCAAATTTATTCTACAGCAAGTTAAAACTATGAAAAAAAAAAAAGACTAGCTGCCATGTCACCACATCCCAACAAATGCTGTCTTCTAATCGACCTCTATGAGGAATACAAGCTCCAGAGATTTTCCTGTACAAAATTCCATGTAGTCATATTGATCAGAAGCAGGCTACGAAAACTGATTATCCCACATCATATCTACAAACCAGAAAACCCTAAAATTCATAAAAGCATGTGGCTGATACATTCTGTTTTTTTACAGTAAAAATGTTACTTTAACCTTGTTTTTCTTCAGTGCCTTCATCTGTCCCTTGATCTGTTTACTTAGCTAAAAACACCTATTTTCCTCTAATACCAGCAGGAATGTCAGAAATAAAATTAACATTTTATATAGAAAAGAATCATAGTACTGATAATAAAGGCAGTGAAGGCAGAATTCTAACACAGCTCCTCAGATTCCCACACCTTGGTGCACAGGCTATTTATAATCTCCACTTGAGTATGGACATGACTTGAGAATAGGATGGATGTCACTCCAGTGATTATGGCAAAGGTGAAAGGTTTCTGCAGATGTAATTAAGGTTGCAAATCAGCTGATTCTGAGTTAAATAAAAGGAAGATTATGCCAGGAGCAGTGACTCATACCTGTAATCCCAGCATTCTGGGAGGCCAAGGCAGGTAGATCACTTGAGGTCAAGAGTTCAAGACCAGCCTGGCCAACATGGCAAAACACCGTCTCTACTAAAAATACAAAAATTAGCCAGGCGTGGTGCCATACGCCTGTAATCCCAGCTACTCGGGAGACTTGAGACAGCAGAATCGCTTCAACCTGGGAAGCAGAGGTTGCAGTGATCTGAGATCACAGCACGCACTCCATCCTGGGTAACAAAGTGAAACTCTGTCTCAAAAAAAAAAAAGCGGGGGGGTGGTGGAGGGGTGGCGGGGAGATTATCCTATGTGGACCTGATTTATTAGGCGAAACACTCAAAAGAGACTAGAGTATGCCCCTTTTGAAATGAGAGATGGTCTCTCCCACTGGCCTTAAAGAAGCAAGATGCCATGAAACCTTGAAATATATTTTGCCAACAACGAGGTGAGCTTGGAAGAGAACTCTGTGTCTCAGATGAGACCAGAGCCCTTACCAACATCTTGAACACAGACCCAGAAAAGAAGGCCCAGCTAAGCTAAGTCTGGACTCCTGACGTCTGGAAACTGTGAAATAACGAATGCATGTTTTAATCCACAGAAAATAAACACTGGCAGCATCCCTCTTATATTATTTTAGCAATGACTAGTTCTTAATAAGAGATTAAAACAGAGTATCCTTTTTACTCCAGAGGACAAAGGTACTGAAGTTTCCTATGGCTGGTGCAACAAATTACTAAAAACTTGATAACTTAAAATAACAAAAATGTATTCTCTCATAGTTCTGAAGACCAGAAGCCCAAAATCAACATGTTGGGAGGGCCACACTCCCTCCAGAGGCACTAGAAGAGATTCTGTTCCTTGCCTCTTATAACTTCTAGTGGCTATCAGCATTCCAAGGCTTGTGGTTGTAACACTCCAATTTCTGCCTCCATAGTCATGTTGCTTCCCCTTCTGTGTCTCTTGCAGGACAACTGTCATTAGATTTAGGGCCCACCTGGATAATCCAGGTAAATCTCCTTATCTCAAGGTTCTTCATTACATCTGCAAAAACCCTTTTTTGAACCAAATAAAATGAAATTCACAGGTTCTAGGAATTAGGAGGTGGACATATCCTTTTGTGGGGTCACCATTCAGCCCACTACAGGTACTCACAGGCAAAAACAATTTCATCCATATACTTACTCCTTTGCTAACTGGAGAGCCCTCATAGGTTTCGTATGGGCCCTGCTCCTTGGCAAGGTCACAGCTGGCTTCCAGGGCGCCATAATAAATAGTTTCAAAGATCTGCTTATTTAGTAATTGGGCTTCTGCACTCTCAAAAGGGTATCTCATCAGGATAAAAGCATCTGCCAGACCTTGTACCCCAATTCCAATGGGACGATGACGTTTATTTGATAGGCATGCCTTTGTGTCAACAGATTTTAAAGAAAAGGAGAAAATATTACTGAACAGGAAAATCAACATTCTGTACTAAATGAGACAGACTACCTCTTTTTCTCAAACCACTTTACTGACAACCATTTAAATAATGACTTGAAGATCATGATTGATTCCTTTCAATTTGGATTTCAATAATTACCAATAAGCAGAGAAATATATTCATACCTCTGGTACAGGATAGTAGTTTATATCAATAATTTTATTCAAGTTTCGGACAACGACTTTAGTGACTTCAGCCAACTTCTTAAAGTCATATGTGTGTTCTGATGTGACATACATATTCAGGGCCAGGGAAGCCAAATTACAAACAGCAACCTGGAATGCAAAAAACAGGTCAAGAATCACACAATTTTTATTTCTACTTCCTATGTCAACTACACCACCATGTGAGCCTCTAATACTCTCAAGACAATAAAATGTTAAATTTTTATATTTGACTTCTCCCTCTTCATCATTCATCAGTCCATTTCTAAATCCCACTGATTCTATTTCTTCAATACCTAGTCATATGTGTTAGTGATAACATGCATCAGCAAAATAAGATAGAGAGAGAATCCTGTGTTCCACAGTACACAGCTCTATTACCAGACATATGTCACACTATGTTATAATTAGCTTTTTACATATACCTATCTCATTATTCAGTAGATAAGTGCCCCTACAATATGGTAGCCACTGGCTACATGTATCTATTTAAAATGAAATAAAATTTGAGTTTCTCAGTTGCACTAGTCATATTTCAAGTGCTTAATAGCCATCAGATACAAAACAATTCCATCACTGCAGAAAGTTCTTCAAAGCACACATGTCCACCTCACCTTCACTGATATTCTGATAAGTCCTTAGCAACAAAGGATTCCAATTTGTGATTTCTGAAAAAGCTCTTCTGAAAAACACTACTGTAGTGTTCCTCCACTACACTAGGCAGTGAGCTTCACACAAGGATCATTTTATTTATATCTTTAGCACTAGCAACACATCTGGCACACAGTAAGTCTTGATAATGCTGAATGAATACACTTTCTTTTCCATTTTGGTTATGACTATCCCAAGCCAAAGTCTTAACTTCTCTCACCTGGACTACTGAAAGTTTCCCAATTGAACTCTTGATGCCCTTCACATCTACTCCATTCTACACATGTTGCCAAATACCCATTTTTAAAATACAGCTTGAATCACAAAAGTCTAATAAATACCAGGGAGAAAAATAGGCAGGAAAAGAAGACAGAGAGTACTTGGGATAAAGATGAAGGGGGTGTAATTTTTAAACAGAGTTGTTAAGAAAGACCTCACTGAAAACGTTGCATATGAACAAAGAACTGAACAGGTTAGAAAGCAAACCATGTGGCTATGGGAAGAGGGGGTGCATTTTAACATTCAAGAGGGAAGAAAGAGCAAAAATTCTGAGGCAGGCGCACGCTTGACATGTTTGAGAAAAAGCAAGAAAATCAATAAGGTTGGAGCAGAGTGAACAAAGGAGAAAGTAACCGCAGATGAGGTGGGTTATCCAGTTGTGTAGGACCTTGTAGGGCATTCTAAGAACTCTGGATGGAAAGGAATGAAGTACTGATACATGCTACAACACGAATAAAAGAATATGTTCAGCGAAAGAAGCCTGACACAAAAGGCCACATACTATATGATTCCATTCCTATGGAATGTCCACAAATCTAGAGACAGAAAATATATTAGTGGTTGTCAAGGGCTGAGGGAAGAAGGGAACAGGGAGTGACTGCTAATGGGTAAAGTGTTTCATTATCTAGAGTGATAAAAATGTACTACAGGCTGGTCACGGTGGCTCATGCCTGTAATCCCAACACTTTGGGAGGCCGAGGGGGGTGGATCACGAAGTCAAGAGATTGAGACCATCCTGGCCAACACGGTGAAACCTCGTCCCTACTAAAAATACAAAAATTAGCTGGGCATAGTGGCGTGCGCCTGTAGTCCCAGCTACTTGGGAGGCTGAGGCAGGAGAATTGCTTGAACCCAGGAGGTGGAAATTGCAGTGAGCCGAGATCGAGCCACTACACTCCAGCCTGGTGACAGAGACTGTCTCAAAAAAAAAAAAAAAACTACAATTAGATAGTGGTAATGGTTGCACAGACTTGCAGATACACCCAAAAAATAAACACACACACACACACAAAACAACATGAATTGTACATTTTAAAAAGAATGAATTATAGCTCAATTTACAAAAAGAAAGAACTCTGTTGACGTTGCAATGAGCCACACTCCAGCCTGGGCAACAGAGTGAAATCTTGACTCCCTCAAAAAAAGGAATTCTGCGTAGGTTAGCAAGCCAAAGAGTAGTTTTGTGCAGACAAATGACATTATCTGATTTTTATTTTTAAAATGTCAGTCTAGCCTCTATAATATAATCCATCTTGCATAATAGTTACTTCAATATATGTCGATTTCTTCTAACTAAATTAGAAGTTTCCAGAGGACAGCATATTTATTTATATTCTCACAGTACTTAACACAGTGTTTTATATATAGCTGGTGCACAATAAATTACCTTAGCAGTATATTTAACTCAATTTCCATTTACTTCCTGACTTTTCATTTGTCTTTTTTTTTTAAGGTCCTAGAATTGAGGATCTACTCCTTCCTCATTTCCATAGTTTACACCCAATATCAAAGCAGCCTGTCATCCTATTACTGCAACCATCTCCCTAGGCTAACCTCTAACCTCTTCTCACAGCAAGACACACTGTAACCAGACACAAGAACCATCGTTTTCATCTTAACATTTTGATACTATTTTCCTGTCAGAAACCTACAAGGGCTTCTTATCTCTGGGACATGTCAGTTTCTACCTTCTATCTCCCTTCTCCCAGCCATAGCCATTTCTCCATATTCCAATAATTAATCTACTTGCACCATCAAAACAGACTTACTTGCCACACTGAACAAAACCCAGCCCTGTCTCTGGCATATCATACAGACCACTCTTTCCAAATGGAAAGCTCCTCTCCAAAACTTTTTTTTAAAACATCAAATCCATGTCCCATTTCTAGCCTTGATTCTTCTGTGAAGTCTCTTTACAGGCTTTGAGATTAGAATTGGATCTCACCATTCACTGAAAGGACTCTCTTTATAAGCTTACATACTTTTTTTTGTTGCTGTTTTTGGTTTTTGTTTTTCTTTTTGTTTGTTTTGAGACAGGGTCTCACTTTGTCACCCAGGATGGAGTACAGTGGCACAATCTCAGCCCACTGCAGCCTCCACTTTCCAGGCTCAAGGCTTACGTACTTTAAACTGAATGTACATCCTAACACATTTTTGTGTGTGTCCTAAACCAACATAACTGTGTATTTCTATTTTTCTTGAGTAAATGTCATTACAATGATGTGTGTATAAGAAAAAACTGTGTCTTTCCCACACGGCTTAGACTAAAAAACATTTATAGGCACAGATCATACCCTTTCCTTCCTTTGCTCTCTGCCTTTAACAGTATTCTTCTGCTTACCACTATGCAAACTCCCTTCACTTACCTCAAGTGAGGAATTCACAAATTCCTAAGGTTCTTTTCTTAGTACTCTAGAAAAGTACTCTTAGTACTCTAGGAAATGCCTAGGGTTCTTTTCTTAGTACCCTAGGAAGAATTTTTTCCACCTACCTCATCTTTGCTGGTGTACTCCACTATTTCTGTGCACAGGTTGCTGCATTTGATGGTTCCCAGGTTCTGCTGGTTGCTCTTTCGATTACAAGAATCTTTGTAGAGCATATACGGGGTGCCTGTTTCTGTTTGAGACTCAATGATGGCATACCAAAGCTGCTGAGCTTTTACAACTTTGCGGACACGACCTTGTTTCTCATAACTGAAAGGCACAGATATTATTTAATATATATTCTCTATATTTATTGTATATTTATTTACAATGTCTACGATATATATTTATTGTAGACAACTTGAAGACATTAAAATATAAAGTTATGAAAGCTCTTAAATTTTTTCTAAGTTTTGCTAAAGCAAAAAAGGAATATGATACTTATTTTACTCTGGCTAAAGCCATAGAGGAAAATGAGGCTGTTTTAGGCTCCTTCAAATGATCCCAATCCCACTAAACCAATAATATCTTTCATAATAAAAAGGAGTAAAAACTAAGGAAACCAAATCTCTTAATATTGTGCTAATTTTGTTTTCTTTTTTGAGACAGAGTTTCGCTCTGTCGCCCAGGCTGGCTTGCAGTGGTACTATCTCAGCTCACTGCAACCTCCACCTCCGAGGTTCAAGCGATTCTCCTACCTCAGCCTCCCAAGTAGCTGGGACTACAGGTGTGCACCAGCACGCCCAGCTAATTTTTGTATTTTTACTAGAGATGGGGTTTCACCATGTTGGCCAGGCTGGTCTTGAACTCCTGACCTCAAATGATCCACCTGCCTCATCCTCCCAAAGTACTGAGATTACAGATATGAGCCACTGCACCTGGCCTATTTAATTTTAATAAACTATTGACATATGTATCCTAGTCACTCATGATTCCTTTATGCAATATAAAGCATAGCTTATCAAAAGTACTATATGACAGAGCAAAATAATAACCCTGCTAGTCATCTTAATTTTTATAAGGATCAATTAAAAATCCCAAGAACCTATTTATACATTCCAAAGTTTTAAGAAAGAAGAAGACGCAACTCAATTTTGGTGAAGAGTTAGGAAGCAAATATGACCAAAATTATTAGTCACTTTTTCTCTTAGATGCTTCAAAAGATTCTTGACAAGTACTTTTGATATTTGGACCCCCAAAATAAGAGAAACCATGATTAAAACATTATTGTTTTCTTTTATATTTTTCCCATACCTTTCATATAGTTTCTCAAATTCTTCTCCCCAAACCTCATCCAGACCAGGACACTCATTTGGACACATCAAAGACCAGTCCTATAAAGGAAAGGACAAAATCACTCATAAGAAACATAAAATAGCCAAGCATAATCCATTAGAAACACTGCAAGCATAAGGTGACTTTTACAAGTTCTCTTGGAAATTTGCTGTAGAAATAATCATTTTCAGGTTCAGGCCCAAACATCTAGGTCTGCCTGTTTATACATGACCTTTCAAGCATTTAGGTCACAAAGCATCTACTTTAGAGAACAGAAATATAAGACAAGCACAGCATCTCTTAACTTGTTCAGAATGCCTTCTGTGGCATCACACATAGATGGGCTCTTCCTAAGCATGACTTAAGAAGACTAAAAAAGAGAAAGCTCATGTGAATCAAGTTGCCATTACCAACAAGTACCTATCTCTCACCTGATTAGTCTCTACTCGTTTCATGAAGAGATCCGGAATCCAAAGAGCAAAGAAAAGATCTCTGGCACGCTGCTCTTCCTTTCCTGTGTTCTTCTTTAAATCAAGGAATTCAAAGATGTCTAAATGCCAAGGCTCCAGGTAAATAGCAAATGCCCCAGGACGCTAGTGGTAAATAAATCATAATTCTCTTCAGAATAAAAATGAAACAAAGAAACATCATGTCTCCCAAAGCACTTTTATAGTATCTCCTTTGATCTTCACTACAATGAATTAAATAACATAAAAGTATTATAAAAGTGTACAATTTTACAATTGTAAAAGTAATATTTTACAATTCTATGAGTAAAAACGAATGAATGATATAAACAAAATGTGAAACAAGAAAGGTTAACTTTTCTAAAGTGACATGATGAACTACAAATGGAGCCTCCTCTTCAGCAATAGCCCAGCTCTCTTTACACAACATGACATGTACATAAAGCCCAAAGGAAGTTGCTTTTACAAAATAAGCCGTGCTCTTATTGAAGGTCAAAAAGTTGATCTGTCTTATCAAGGTCCCCAAAGTCCATCAGAGAGAAATTCATAAACTAACAGGTGATTAGTGTGCCTACAGTCACAAAAGGCAGACTCTAGTTGCAAACCATCCTATTGATAAAACCAGGTGAACAACCCAATTCTTTCAACTTTACTGTTTCTTCTAGAATTAGGGAGAGTTTTTGTTTGTTTGTTCTGTTTTGTTTGAGACAAGGTGTAGCTCTATTGTCCAGGCTGGAGTACAGTGGTATAATCTCGGCTCACTGCAACCTCCTGCCTACCGGGCTCTAGCCATCCTCCCACGTCAGCCTCCCAAGTAGCTGAAACTACACCATACCTGGTTAATTTTTGTATTTTTTGTGGAGATGGGGTTGCATCAGGGTGGTCTTGAACTCATGAGCTTAAGCGATCAGCCCACCTCAGCCTCCCAAAGTGCTGGAATTACTGGCAGGAGCCACCACACCCAGCCAATTAGGGAGAGTTTTGTTATTCCAGTTTGTTTTTGTTTTTGTTTTAAGAACAACCAAGGCCAGGTGCAGTGGCTAACACCCGTAATCCCAACACTTTGGGAGGCCAAGGCAGGTAGATTGCTTGGGTCTAGGAGTTTGAGATCAGCCTAGGCAAGAAAGTGCGACCCCCGTCTCTACAAAAAATATAAAAATTAGCTGGGTGTGGTGGCACAGGCCTATGGTCTGAGCTACATGGGAGGGCTGAGGCAGAAGGATTGCTTAAGTCCACGAGGTCAAGGCTACGGTGAGCCAAGGTTGTGCCACTGCACTCCAGCCTGGGTGATAAGAGAGAGAGACAAAAAAAAAAAAAAAAAAAGAAAAACGTAGAGCACATGTTACAACCCCATTTCAAATGACATATTTATATGAGTTACAACTTGAGAAATTCTTTGCAAATAAACTATTATGTAAGAAAGCTGAATAAATCAGTGGTTGTCTAGAGCCAGGGATAAAGTATGTGTGGGTAGGGGTGACAGGGGTGACTGAATGTAAAGGTATATGAGGGAGAAAAGATTTTGGGGTAATGGAAATGTTCTACCTCTTTATCAATGTGGGGATTACACAAGTGTAACATTTGTCAAAACCCATCAAACTGTACATTTAAAGTATATGCATATTAAAATAATTATACCTCCTCAAATTGATTTTACAAGTAAAAAATAAGTAATTAGAAACCACACATAAATGAGCCATCTTAAGTGTATATGACTAAAGCACCTTTAGTTCTGATTTCTAGTACTTTCAAGTCATGGAGCATACCTTGTTCCCACCTTGATCCACATATCGAGCTGTGTTGTTATATACTCTCAGCATCGGTACAAGGCCATTGGAATTGCCGTTAGTCTAAAAGAGAGAACATGATAGAAGACAGAGGGCACTCAGCAAAGAAAAGAACAAAATGGCCCCATTCTTTTATCAAAAAAGATGACTAATTTCTAGGTAGCAATCTATGAAGTTTACCTGCTCTCCATCTCTGCTTCTGCTTTGGAAAAATAATGCCCAAATAAAATCAACAAAATGCTGAATAAATTACAATTATGTACTAAGTTACCTCATGGCATTTCTAATTTACAATGAGATGTAGCAATTACAAGTCAAAGGGATCGAAAATCAAGGTAGCTAAATTTAAACTCTACATCTTCTAAAGGTCGTTATATAGAGATACACTTTGGGTAGAGTAAAAAAGAACATAAATACTACTACAATGCCTTTTTCCCAAAAGAAATCAAGGCAATTTATAATAAGAATTACATGCAGTAGCTATATCAGGGCAATAAATAAGGTAAAAGGAGATTCTCAGCAATAAGTGGACTCTAGAATGATGTTAAGAAAATAGAGACTCCTATGACTAGAAGACACTTCATCAAATTCTTTAAATAACCCTTCTGATCCCAACACAAGCCTTTAAACAGTCTAGAAAGATAAGTGAACAATGGCTCACTCTACCATTGTGTAAAGTGCTGTATATATCACAGTACCTCCAAAACACAACATAATGGAATAATTTCCTTCTGGAACTTTATTCTACAGGGTTAGATATTTTCTTCATCTTACAGAAAAGGAAACAAACTCAGACATAAAATAACTAACTCCAGGCCACATTACTAGTTAAGTAGTGGAGCTAGGATTTAAATCCAGGTCTAAGTCAAAACCATTATCTTTACTCCCAATGAATAGTAAACTAACAAAGGGCTGAAGTTTACATCATAAAGTGTCAATGCATAAATCTTGTATCCTGGCTCTACCACATATTAAGTGATTGATCTCAGAAAGTAGCAACTTTCTAAGTCTCAATTTCCTCACTTGTAAAATTAGACAATGGCACCTTTATTCACAAGGTTATTTTAAGGAATAAAATTCCTGGCATGAGTCTATAATCACAGCTACCTCATAGGGTTGTAGTAAGGGTCAAATGAGTACTTCACGTAAAACATTTATAACAGACTTAACATACAGTAAGCAATCAATAAATGATAACTGCTCTTATTACTGCTAAAATAAGCCAGAATTCTAAAACCTGAGCTAAAAAGGATTCTAGAAATTATCTAGTCAAATCTAAACGTCTAATAACATAGATAAAAATGAAGCCAGAAGTGAAATGACTCACTCCAAGTCACATGGGCATTTAGTAACTAACAGAGACTCAGGACTCCCAAAAAAATAGCATATGCCCTCTCAACCATAAGTCTGGTTGCTTTTAGACTTGAATCCGCTTTTAAAAGCCAAATGGCAGAAACTTACCCCAGCAATGTAGCTGCCAGTAGCCCGAATACAACTCACAGCAACACCAATTCCTCCAGCAGACTTAGAAATCAATGCACACTGCTTTAGAGTATCATAAATGCCTTCAATGCTGTCATCTTTCATACTCAGAAGAAAACAGCTACGGGGAAAAAAAGTCTCAACTTAGAGCAGGGAAATGAAGCAGAGTCACAAAAATGATTACTCAACACGAAGACACTAAGGCAAAAAAAAAAAAACGGTTGAAGTTTAGAAAGTTCCTAAGTGAAGGGGTGGCCTGCCCCTCCACACTTGTGGGTGTTTCTCGTTAGGTGGAACGAGAGACTTGAGAAAAGAAATAAGACACAGAGACAAAGTATAGAGAAAGAAAAGCGGGGGCCCAGGGGACCAGCGCTCAGCTTACAGAGGACCCACGTCGGCACCGGTCTCTGAGTTCCCTTAGTATTTATAGATAATTATCTTTACCATCTTAAAGATAAGGGAGTGGCAGGACAACAGGATCGTTTTTAGGGAGGAAATCAGCAGTAAGACATAAGAACAAGGATCAGCAGTAAGACATAAGAACAAGGATCTCTGCGACATGAATAAGTTTAAAGGAAAATCCTGTGCCTTGAGATAAACCTTTTAGCAGCATTGTTTCATCCTATCACATGGGGATAAACCTTGGACAATACCTAGCTTTTCTAGGAACAAAGACACACCCTGCACGCCCAAAATCCATTAAATCTTGAGTTACCACAGCACATGTCTCTTGCAAGGACAAGGTTGGGGGTAGGGTCACAGATTAACAGCATCTCAAATACAGAACAAAATGGAGTCTCTTAGGTCTACTTCTTTCTATATAGACACAGTAACAGGCTGATCTCTTTCTTTTCCCCACACCTAAGTATTTTTCCAAGAAGAAAACCCACTTTACTGTACATGACACAATAAAACATATCGAAATACCATTTTAAAATCATCTTGCTGCCTCCTCTAGATAGTAAGTAAATAAGCCTAGGAGGAAGTCTTATAGATAAGTCTATAATATTAGCTTACATTTTCACCAGACTGCAAACGTGCCATTTTCACATTTTCTCATGCATATTCATAAACATGCGTCACAGTCTTTTCAGGTTGTTAGTAAGCCAAAAAAAATAAACATTTATGAAAATAATCTATCCAATGGTCAACCAATTCTTTGATATGTCTACCAAAATTATAGCTCCTTTACAGTCTTCTTAAAGACAACCCCTTTACCTCCACTTTGGATCTCATCCTACTCCCCACCTTAGGAACCTTACCCTATCAATAATCTCTTCACTTCCCTGAATATTCAATCATGCAAATGGATTCTATCTATTGACTAGGTGTTTAATATTCAGACATTCAGAAAAATATAGAGAATGATGTAACAAATACCCTGTACTTGCCATCTACCTCAAAAAATTAGACACCACAAATATAGCCTCACTGCAATCCTCTAACATTTTTAAGAATTTCTATTATGACATTTTTACATGTTCTACACTTAGAATTTTTCTGGTTGCATATCTATTTATCATTCCGCAACTTGTTTTAATTCAACATTGTTTTACAGAAATTAATCCTTTTGATACATGTAAACAAACTTTATTTTCATTGCCATAAGGTATTCTATTGTATAAATATACCAATACATTTGTCCCATGCGCCTGTTGATGAACATCTGGATTATTTCCAATTCATCTGCAATTCCAAACAATGCTGCTATAAAAATTCTTGAACACATCCCCTTGTGTTTATCTCTAAGGATTTCTGTAGAATATAAACCTAGGAGACGAACTGCTGGGTCAAAAGATATATACATGTTTCACTTTACTAAAGATTCTCCAAAGTGGATGGACAAATCTATTTCTAGCAATGTATGAGATTTCCTTGTGCTCCACATTCTTGTCAATACTTGGAATTGTCAGCCTTTTCATTTTTATCAAAAAAAAAAAATATATATATATATATATATACACACACACACACATAATTTTCATTTTCCTATTGCACAGTGTAACATCTCAGATGTTTATTAGCCAATCAAGTTTCTTCTTCCATGCATTATTTGTTTATAGCCCTTGCCCATGTTTCTATTTGGCTTTCTGTTTTTCTTTTCTTTCTTTCTTTCTTTTTTTTTTTTTTCTGAGAAAGGGTCTAACTCTATTACCCAGGCTGGAGTGCAGTGGCATGATCACAGATCACAGCAGCCTGGACCTCCTGGGCTGGAGCGATCCTCCCACCTCAGCCTTCCAAGTAGCTAGAACTATAGGTGTGCACCACCATGCCTGGCTAATTTTCTACTTTTGCAGAGACAGGCTCTCACTATGTTGCCCAGGCTGGTTTCAAATTTCTGCCCTCAAGCCAGCCTTTGCTTTGGTCTCCCAGAGTGTTGTAATTATAGGCAGGAGCCACTGCACCTGGCCTTGTTTTTCTTATAATCTCTCAATAGTTTACACATTGCAAATATCTTCTCTCAGTCTGAAACTTGTTTTTTGGGGTTTTTGTTGTTGTTGTTGTCGTTTTCAAGACGGAGTCTCACTCTTTTGTCCAGGCTGCAGGCATGATCTTGGCTCACTGCAAGTTCTGTCTCCCAGGTTCAAATGATTCTCATGCCTCAGCCTCCTGAGTAGCTGGGATTACGGGCATACGCCACCACGCCGGGCTAATAGTTGTATTTTTAGTAAAGATGGGGTTTCACCATGTTGGCTAGGCTGGTCTCAAACTCCTAACCTCAGGTAATCCACTCACCTTGGCCTCCCAAAGTGTGAAACTTGTTATTTGACTTTGTTTTTGGTTCACAGAAGTTTTTAATTTTAATGTAGTCAATTTTTCCAATGTTTTGCTCTATAGTGTTTTGCTCTGAGGTCATATTATATATTTTCCTATTGAGATGTAAGTGGAAGTAGGCCAGGCTCAGTGGCTCACGCCTGTAATCCCAGCACTTGGGAAGCCCAGGCGGGTGGATTACCTGAGGTCAGGAGTTCGAGACCAGCCTGGCCAACATGGAGAAACCCCGTCTCTACTAAAATTACAAAAATTAGCTGGTTGTGGTGGCGCGTGCCTGTAATCCCAGCTACTCAGGAGGCTGAGGCAGGAGAATGGCGTGAACCCGGGAGGCGGAGCTTGCAGTAAGCTGAGATCCGGCCACTGCACTCCAGCCTGGGCGACGGAGCAAGACTCCGTCTCAAAAAAAAAAAAAAAAAAAGGTAAAAAGGTAAGTGGAGATATTAAGAGTCACAATGTCTACAACTCACTTTTTTTTTTTTTTGGAGGAATCCCTCCAGAGGTTTTGAGGGAGAATCTGTTTCTTGCTTTGTACAGCTTTTGGTGGCTAATTGCTCTCCTTTGTGGTCACATGACTCCAATTTCTCCCTCCATCTTTACATCACTTTCTCCTCTTCTGTACGTTGTTATCTCCCTCAGCCTCTCTCTTACAAGGATACTTTTAATTGGATTAAGGGCCCACCCACATAATTCAAGATAATCTCCCCATGCATGTCAAAATCCTTATCATACCTGCAAAGACCACTTTCCTTATTAGGTAACGTTTACAGGTTCCAGGAATTTGGACCTGATATTTTTGGGCAGTCTTTTGCTCTTTCACATGAATTTTAGAATCAGTATGTTGAGATTTTGACTAGAATTACTTTGAATCTATATTTTAACTTGGGAAAAACTGACATTTTAATAAAATTGAATCTATTCCATTCATTTATTATTTAATATCCTTTAATCATGTCTTAGAGAAATTTCTAAAAAACTTAAAAAACCAGGAATGGTAGCTCACGCCTGTAATCCCAGCACTTTGGGAGGCCAAAGAAGACAGATCACTTGAGGTCAGAAGTTTGAGATCAGCCTGGCCAACTTGGTGAAACCCCGTCTGTATTAAAAATACAAAAATTAGCTGGGTGCGATGGCACACGCCTGTAATCCCAGCTATTTGGAAGGCTGAGGCAGGAGAATCACTTGGACCTGGGAGGTGGAGGCTGCAGTGAGCCAAGATCACGCAGCTGCACTCCAGCCTGGGCAACAGAGTGAGACTCTGTCTTAAAAACAAAAAAAAGGCCAGGCGCGGTGGCTCACGCCTTTAATCTCAGCACTTTGGGAGGTCGAGGCGGGTGGATCACGAGGTCAGGAGATTGAGACCATCATGACTAACATGGTGAAACCCCGTCTCTACTAAAAAAATACAAAAAAATTAGCCGGGCGTGGTGGCAGGCGCCTGTAGTCCCAGCTACTGGGGAGGGTGAGGCAGGAGAATGGTGTGAACGCGGGAGGTGGAGCTTGCAGTGAGCTGAGATTGCGCCACTACACTCCAGCCTGAGTGACAGAGCAAGACTCCATCTCAAAAACAAAGAAAAACAAAACAAAAACAAAAAGTCAATGATGGACCACATATACGAGAGTGATCATCCAATAATCTAACGTTAATTTATTATTGAAGAAAATATTTTTAAAATAAATTTAGTGTGCACAATGTTTATACAGTCTACAGTCGTCAGTAATGTAGTAATGTACTAGGTCTCATACTCTCTTTTTTTTTTTTTTTTTTTTTGAGACGGAGTCTCGTTCTGTTGCCCAGGCTGGAGTGTAGTGGTGTGATGTTGGCTCACTGCAACCTCCGCCTTCCAGGTTCAAGCAATTCTGCCTCAGCCTGCCAAGTAGCTGGGATTGCAAGCGCCCGTCACCATACCTAGCTAATTTCTGCATTTTTAGTAGAGACAGGGTTTCACCATGTTGGCCCTGTGGTCTTGAACTCCTGACCTTGTGATCTACCTGCCTCAGCCCCCTCAAAGTGCTGGGATTACATGCATAAGTCACCGTGCTCAGCCAGGCCTTCATATTCATTCACCACTCACTCACTAACTCAACCAAAGCAATTTTCAGTCCTACAAGCTCTATTCATAACTGTCCTATACAGATGTATCTTTTTTTCATCTTTTTTTTTGGAGATGGAGTCTCGCTCTGTTGCCCAGGCTGGAGTGCAGTGGCGCAATCCTGGCTCACTGCAACCTCTGCCTCCCAGGTTCAAGCAATTCTCCTACCTCAGCCTCCCGAGTAGCTGGGACTATAGACACACACTGCCATGACTGGCTAATTTTTTAATATATATTTTTTAGTAGAGACAGGGTTTCACCGTGTTGGCCGGGCTGGTTTCGAACTCCTGACCTCAGGCAATTCGCCCGCCTTGGCCTCCCAAAGTGCTAGGATTACAGGCATGAGCCACCGTGCTCGGCCCATTTTTTATCTTTTATAGAGTACTTTAACTGTGATATGTTTGGATACACGAATACTTACCATTGTATTACAAAGGCCTACAGTATTCAGTACAGTAACATGCTACACAGGTTTATAGCCTACAAGCAGCAACAGGCTATGCCATATATCCTATGTGTGTAGTAGGCTATACCATCCAGGCTTATATAAGTACACTGTATAATGTCTGCACAAGAAAATCACCTTACAACACATTTCTCAGAATATATCCCCATCGTTAAGTAATGCATGACTGTAGGTTAAGACTTAATTTTCTAACAGCTAAAGTACAGAAACTTAACTGATTGATGTATATTGAACTTGTATCCAGGTATTTTGCTGAAATCTTTTTTTTCTAATAATGTGTCTGCAGATACTCTTGAGTTTCCTATGTAAAAGTCATTTCTTTCAATCATTACAGTTTTGTTCCCTGATTTCCAATCTTTTCTTTTTCTTATTTTACTGTGCTGGCTCAGCCTCCACTAACATGCTGAAAAAAGGGATGATACATCTAGGTTTTTAGTGGATATCTTTTGCCAAATTAAGGAAGTTATTTTCTGTATCAATTTTGTTAAAGTGTTTCTTATGAAAGAGCATTAAACTGCATAAAATGTTAATGCAATGAATTACATTATTTTTGACATTACCATGTTCTTGAATTCCTGAAACAAACCAACTTGATAATGGGTATTTTTTTTTTAATGTATTACCAGACTGTTAGTGTTCCCTTTCTCAACAAATGGCATCATGATTAATCCTGTTACTTACTGTATCCATAAATGCAAGAACCACTGTTGACCCATATTCTGTCAATTTGACACCCTAAATATCTTTTATATATATTTTTATCTTAATCAAGGTATCACTTTGTTGCCCAGGCTAGAGTGCAGTGGCATAATCATGGCTCATGGCGGCCTTGAACTCCTGACCTCAAGTGATCTTCCCACCTCAGCCTTCCAAAGTGTTGGAATTACAGATGTGAGCCACCATGCCTGGCCCTAAATATCTTTTGATCTATCTGCTTCTGTCAATTTCTACTTTCACCTCCCTAATCTAAACTACCACAGTTTCTTATATAAACTGCTATGAGAGTCCCCTAACTAGTTCTTGGCACTTACTTTCTTTTTAAAACAACCTTATTGAAATGTAATTCATACCAGTCATGGTGGCTCATGCCTGTAATCCCAGCACTTTGGGAGGCCGAGGTGGGTGGATCACCTGAGGTCAGGAGTTCAAGACCAGCCTGACCAACATGGTGAAACCCCATCTCTACCAAAAATACAAAAATTAGCCGGGTGTGGTGGCAGGCACCTGTAATCCCAGCTACTCAAGAGGCTGAGGCAGGAGAATTGCTTGTACCCAGGAGGCGCCAATGCACTCCAGCCTGGGTGACAGAGTGAGACTCTGTCTCAAAAAAAAAAAAAAAAGAAATATAATTCACAAATAATATAATTCCCCATTTAAAGTGTACTACTCAATGGCTTTTAATAGACTCAGAGTTTTGTAACCATCACCACAATCCAATCAATTTTAGAACATTTTTGTTTTAAGCATTTGCCTTTTCTCCAAATCATTTACCACATTACAGTCAGAGATCTTTCCAGAATCTAAATCTCATTTAATCAGAGCAGGCAGCGATTAAAAGTTCATTAAATTATTTTTTATGTGATGAACTGCCCAGTTTCTTCAGATCAAGGTTTATTTCCCTACTCAAAACACATAACTAGAAAGTTGTGGGTGTACTCAAAACACCTACCTAGAAAGTTGTGGGCGGTTGGTACCAGCATTGAAGAGAGTGGGAGAAGCATGAGTAAACCACCTCTCAGAAAGAAGATTATATGTTTCAATTGCTGCATCAATGTCTTCTTTGTGGATCCCAACAGATACTCTCATCAACATATGTTGTGGTCTTTCAGCCACTATAGACAAAAGAGGAGTTTTCACATGATGAGACATGTCAGAAAAAGTAGGTTGAGATACATATTTGAATTTTAGAAAAGGATACCAAAAGGAAACTAGAAAAACTTTATACTAATAAGCAGGACAATTATCCACAAACTAAACCTAAAGTCCAAAATGTTATCTGGAGTCTAAGTAGGAATATTAAGACTTATAGCTCAAAGCTATATATTCAATATAATCAGTAGAAAATGTAACACACAAACATGTTCATTTCTCACCTTTTCCATTGATCTTCAACAAATAAGACCGCTCTAGCGTCTAGAAAGAGAGAAACAACAAAAAATTTTCAGAGCACCGTTTTTAAGACGCAGTGGATATATCATCCACTATAAGACAATCTCTTTAAATCTTGGCCGTTTCTATAAAATTTCAAATGAAAAGAATAGCACATTTACTCTTCCTAGCTTCATCTGGAACATTATCATTGGCACTTTTTTTTTTTTTTGAGACGGAGTCTCGTTCTGTTGCCCAGGCTGGAGTGCAGTGGCGCGATCTTGGCTCACTGCAAGCTCTGCCTCCTAGGTTCATGCCATTCTCCTGCCTTGGCCTCCCGAGCAGCTGGGACTACAGGCGCCCGCCACCATGCCTGGCTAATTTTTTTTTTTCTATTTTTAGTAGAGACCATGTTAGCCAGGATTATCACTGGCACTTTTTTAAAAAAAACTTTTTAAAACATTCTGTAGACACATGGTCTCCCTGTATTGCCCAGGCTGGTCTCGAACTCCTGAGCTCAAGGAATCCTCCCATCTCAGCCTCCTCACTGGCACTTTTGTTTCGGCAGAGACTGCATGAAAATTTCTGGAAAAAGTCAGCTCTGTACACATTAACAGCAGAAGTTGTAGTATTCATCGTCATCATCATCAACATCAAAACAGCTAACACTTAAAAAGTGCCTGTAACAGACTAGGCACTAATCTAAGCAACATCTACACTTGTTTAATCCCCTGAAGACTCCTCATGGGGATTAAATGAGCAACATATACATCAGGGATTCTTCAGGGGATTAAATGAGTATATATGTTGCTTAGAGCAGTGCCTAGTCTGTGACAGGCACCTTTTTTTTTTGAGACAGAGTCTCACTCTGTCACCCAGGCTGGAATGCAGTGGCGCGATCTTGGCTCACTGCAACCTCTGACTCCTAAGTATAAGCAGTATCCTGCCTCAGCCTCCCAAGTAGCTGGACTTACAGGCATGCACCACCATGCCCAGCTAATTTTTGTATTTTTTAGTAGAGAGGGCACTTCACCCCGTGGTCCAGGCTGGTCTCCAACTCCTGACCTCGGGTGTTCAGCCCGCCTTGGCCTTCCAAAGTGCTGGGATTACAGGCGTAAGCCACCACGCCCAGCCTGTTATAGGCACTTTAAGTTGAAATTTAAACTAAATTGGCCGCAGTGGCTAATGCCTGTAATCCCAGCACTTTGGAAGGCCAAGGCAGGTGGATTACCTGAGGTCAGGAGTTCAAGACCAGCCTGGCCAATATGGCGAAACTCTGTCTTTACTAAAAACACAAAAATTAGCTGGGCGTGGTGGTGTGTGCCTGTAGTCCCAGCTACTCAGGAGGCTGAGGCAGGAGAACTGCTTATACTCGGCAGACAGAGGTTGCAGTCAGCCAAGATCGCGCCACTGCACTCCAGGCTAGGTGAAACAGTGAGACTCAGTCTCAAAAAAAAATTTTTTTTTAATTAAATTTGTTGTTGAAATTTTATATTCTCCCCATTCTAAAAAGGAGGAAACAAGCACAGAGAGATTAAATAACTTGCTAATAAGAAATAGAGCAGAGACTGGAATTCAGGTGGACAATGACATTCATGTTCTCAGTCACTACACTATACTATATACTATACTATACTGCCTATCAACGCAAAAATACTTAGAATGTTATGAAACACTTATGGTAATTTATCTGCATAACTCCTCAGGTAATCCAGAAGTAATATGTGGAAAATTCAAAAATTGCAAATAGATAAGCTACCTTTGCCTTAATTCAAACCACCACTGCTACCTTAACCCCACTAACTCCCCAGGTCCACCCCAACTCCAAACAACTTATGGCCTTGATAACTGTCATCAAAACATAAATAAAATCCTGTATTTCATGATTTAAGTACAAGTCCCCAAATACTTGAAACCCGTTATTTACCTTAAAGCCAAAGTAATTGTAAGAGAAATCTCGGTCATAGATAATGGCAGAATTCAGGCGCTGATACGGGTGAAAAAGAACGCACAATTAAATTAAAATAATTACTTATTTTCACAAAATCTGTTGTCTCTCAGCCCTGACTCCAGAACTAAAATCAACACAGATAACACTAAGCATTATTACTGTAGAAGTCCATCTAACATTCTAAAAAAAAGAAACAATATATATAAATTAAGTATCCTAATTAGGTTTAAAAATATGTATATTACAACACTAGAAGATAATACATAAATATATGTTGTGAGATTACATTTAATTTTCCAAACTTTCACTATTATGTTTATAGTATGTTTTGAAAGGGGGAAAAAACATGAGCATAAATGGGACTATATTATCATCCTTAAACATGTTTTTAGATTACTATTAATCCAAAAGTATTGTTACTACATATTTACTAATATATATATATATTTACTTCAAAAACTAGCCTACCTCAAACTGCATATAACAGTGTATGTAATAAACAATGACAAGAAGCAGGCTTACGTTAATTCTGAGGCTCTTCAAAATCTATGGTCCTTTAACAAGTCTCAGACAAACCACTATTGTAACAGTAAGATTTTATAGCGTAACTGGTCATTATTACAGAGTTTTAGTAGGCTATAAAGCCATTCAGAGGAAAACAAAAGCAATTAACGTACAAATAATCATTTTTGATAGAAAAAAACGGAGCCAGGTTTTCAAAATACTAAGTGTTTCTACATAATGATCCATATCTAAGGACTAGAAAAACCTATACGAAAGCTTGCTTTCCTTCTCTCAAAATTTTAAGGCCATCTTTGTTGCCAAAGGCAGGTATGGGCTCAGAACTGAAACACTTGACTATCAATAGACATATTTTTAGACACATGTTTGATGCTGCTGCTGTATTTTTGTCTTCACCTTGTCTTCAAGATTACACAAATTAACAACACACAAACAACTCAGTTTTCTCCTAGTCTCTTTAACATCAGATACATTTTTAGAGAGACAGTCAATTAATCATTCTTTTTTTTTTTTTTTTTGAGACTGAGTCTTGCTCTGTTGCCCAGGCTGGAGTGCAGTGGCATGATCTCGGCTCACTGCAAGCTCCGCCTCCCGTGTTCACACCATTCTCTTGCCTCAGCCTCCTGAGTACCTGGGACTATAGGCGCGTGCCACCACGCCTGGCTAATTTTTTGTATTTTTAGTAGAGACAGGGTTTCACCCAGTTAGCCAGGATGGTCTCGATCTCCTGACCTTGTGATCCACCCACCTTGGCCTCCCAAAGTGCTGGGATTACAGGCGTGAGCCCCCTCACCCAGCCTAATCATTCTATTACCCAAAGTTAAAACTGGTCTCTAACCTGTCCAGATATACATGGTAAATAAATCCTGTGTGTAAAAGGGCTGGTTAGGCTACATCTTTTCCCTTCTGTCCTCTGGCATCTAGTTAAGAAAGCAGTTCAAACACAAGTGGATAATTTTTAAGCTGCTGAGCATGAGCTTGTAAAATTTTACCTGAGCAACCTTTTTGGGAGTCAGTTTGGCAATGCCTATCAAAATTTTGAATTCACATACACATTGGCTCAGCAATTCAACTGAAGGGATTTATCTTACAGATATATTCATCTATGGGCAAAACACCTACCATACAAGAATATTCACTGCAGTGAAAAGATGAAAACCAAATATTGATCACTAAAGGAATTCTTACACATACATACAATGACAATATATCTATAAAATGGAACATTATACAACTATTATAAAAAAATGAGTAAATTCATAAAGGCTGATAGAGAACAAACAAGATATACTTACAAGTGAAAAAAGTATCAATGAAAATAGTATGCACAGTACAGTACCACCGAAAATAAAAATATATATGTACACACATGTATGCACACACATGTACGTACAAAATAGCTCCGGAAAAATACATTTTAAAATGATAAAGTTGTTTCTAAAGAGGAAAATCAGGAATCAGGGCAGGAAAAAACAGAATTGTATTTACCTGTATCTTTTGTAGTGTTTAAATTTTCTAAAATGCGTGCAATATTAAAAAAGACTATCAAAAAATTTCCACCAGAAAAGTGTTATACATACATCTTTATTAGCCAAAACAATATCCAATGTTGACTTGGCCACCATAGGAGAGTGTTTGCCATTATGTGGATTTATGTAGTTATAGAGGTCTTCCATCACATCTAAAAAAATACAACAAAAAAAGAAAATATATCAAGACCACTTCACAGCTAATTCAATCTTTAGGTAACAGTTGAAAACAGTAGTTCTCAACCCTTTTTTTCTTCTCAACCCACCTCAATATCTAGCATGTAAAGTGCTCAATAAACACATACATGTTGAAGAAATATGTAATAACTCATTTAAGGAAACAATCTTCTAGAGTTAAAGTGATTATAAGCTCTTGTAGTTTAAAATAAGATTCCTGGGCCGGGCACCGTGGCTCACGCCTGTAATCCTAGCACTTTGGGAGGCTGAGGCAGGCGAGTCACGAGGTCAGGAGATAGAGACCATCCTGGCTAACACGGTGAAACCTCGTCTCTACTAAAAATACAAAAAATTAGCCGGGCATGGTGGCACGCGCCTGTAGTCCCAGCTACTCGGGAGGCTGAGGCAGGAGAATGGCATGAACCCGGGAGGCGGGGCTTGCAGTGAGCCGAGATTGCACCACTGCACTCCAGCCTGGGTGACAGAGTGAGACTCTGTCTCAAAAATATAAAAATAAAAATAAAATAAAATATAAATAAATAAACAAAACAGATTCCTAAGGCTGGACAGTGGCTCACATCTGTAATCCCAGCTCTTTGGGAAGCTAGCCACCCACCTCAGCCTCCTGAGTAGCTGGAATGACAGGCACACACTACTATACCTTGTTAACGTTTTTAATTTTGGAGAGAAAGGGTCTCACTATGTTACCCTGGCTAGTCTTGAACTCCTGGGCTCAAGTAATCCTCCTGCCTTGGCCTCCCAAAGTGCTGGGATTAGGCCCACCATGCCTGGCATAAAATTTTTAAAAACTGTTTTTTCCTTTTTGGCTCCCAATAGGAAACAATAAAGATTTTTTAATCTCAGTCTACAGCTGGCTTCTTATATATTGAACAAATTATTTAACCTTCCCTTTCCCACATTCCCTGAGCTGTAAAATGGTAGTGATGAAATGAAGAGTTCGCATCTAGTGAGAAAGGAGCAACTATAACATTTTGTTTAACCCAAAACTTGTCAATAAATATTATTCATTTTTCCAACCATATCACCACCAAGTGCCTAACAATGGGCTTTAAAAAAAAGAGAGAGAGGCCAGGTGCGGTGACTCACGCCTGTAAACCCAGCACGTCGGGAGACCAAGGAGGGCAGATCACCTCAGGTCAGGAGTTTGAGACCAGCCTGGGCAACATGGTGAAACCCCATCTCTACTAAAAATACAAAAATTAGCTGGGCGTGGTGGCAACTGCCTGTAATCCCAAGCTACTCGGGTGGCTGACGCAGGAGAATCGCTTGAACCTGGGAGGCGGAGGTTTCAGTGAGCCGAATCATACCATTGCACTCCAGCCTGGGTGATAAGAGCAAAACTTTATCTCAAAAATAAAAAAACTTAAAAAGAGAGAGAATAAAAAACTTAAAGAACAAAGATACATCAACTCTTTTATACAGCAGATAGGCAGCATGGAGAAATAGGAAACTGTAGTCCACTCTTTCCCACTAATTTACATATTTGCCATTTATTTATTTATTTATTTATTTATGAGACAGAGTCTCACTCTGTCGTCCAGGCCGGAGTGCAGTGACATAGGCTCGGCTCACTGCAATCTCCGCCTCCTGGGTTCAAGCAGTTCTCCTGCCTCAGCCTCCCGAGTAGCTGAGATCATAGGCCCCCGCCACCATGCCCAGCTAATTTTTTGTATTTTTAGTAGAGATGGGGTTTCACCATGTTGGCCAGGCTGGTCTCAAACTCCTGACCTAAGCGATCAACCTGCTTGGCTTCCCAAAGCACTGGGATTACAGGTGTGAGCCACTGCACCCGGTCTATTTTATAATTTTAGATTTTTCTTAAAACGCAGAGATGGGGTTTCGCCACATTGCCCAAGCTGTTCTCAAACTCCTGGACTCAAGCAATTTGCCTGCCTTGACTTCCCAAATTGCTGGGATTTGAGGTGTAAGCCACCCCACCTAGCCATATTTGCTTCTTTAAACAGTCAAGATTTCTACTACCCTTATTACTTTTCTGAGAATACTGAATTTTTACTTTTTCACCCAAGACTTACCACTGAACACTTTCTTTGTTTCTTTGTGTAAGTTAGAGACAGCAATCCTGGCTGCCAGGATAGCATAGTCAGGGTGCTTAGTAGTCAAGGTTGCAGCTGTTTCAGCAGCCAAAGTATCTAGTTCCACTGTGGTGACCCCACTGTACAAGCCTTGGATTACTTTCATGGTGATCTGAGCCTACAAAAATAAAACCAAGAATTACTTGAGCTTTCCCAAGAAACAACAGCTTCCTTAAAAGAGTAATTAAGAAAACCATCATGGCCAGGTGTGGTAGTACATACCTATAGTCCTAGCTACTCAGCAGTTGAGGTGAGGGGATCACTTAACCTTAGCAGTTCATGACCCTATTTAAAAAAAAAAAAAAAAAAAAAAAAAAAAAAAAAAAAGCCAGGCGTTGTGGCTCACACACATAATCACAGAGCACTTTGGGAAGCCAATGTGGGAGAATGGCTTAAGTACAGGAGTTCAAGACCAGCCTGGGCAAGCTAGGAAGACCCCCCCGCCACCATCTCCACAAATAATAAAAAAATTAGCTGGGTGTGGTGGTACACACCTGTGATCCCAGCTACTCAGGAAGCTGAGGCTGCAAGGAGCTGTGATTATGCCACTGCACTCCAGCCTGGGCGACAGAGTGAGACCCTGTCTCAAAAAAAAAAAAAAGAAAAAAAGAAAACAATCAAATTCACATCACAATATAAACGACAGGTTGGGCACAGTGGCTCACACCTGTAATCCCAACACTTTGGAAGGCCGAGGTAGGAGGCTCACTTGAGCGCAGGAGTTTGGGACAAACCTGAGCAATATAATGAGACCCTATCCCTACTAAAAATTAAAAAATTAGCCAGTCAAGGTGGTAAGTGCCTGTGGTTGCAGCTACAGGGTAAGCTGAGGTGGGAGGAATGCTTGTACTGGGGAAGTCAAGGCTGCACTGAGCTATCTATGATCATGGCACTGTACTCCAGCCTGGGCAACACAGTGAGACCCTGTCTGAAACAAAGACCAAGACAATTTACTTATCTGAAAAATTATCTTTCGGAATGGTGGGCAGTGGGAAACTTAGTAATGAGAATGCACAACCCAGCAGAACTACAGAAAATGTATACTACATATAAAATGAAGGTGTTATTAAAAAAAACTAAATATAGCCTTTAAATCAATTAGTCTCACAGGGAAATAGCTGAAAACATACTAATGATTCTATATTTCCCTATTTTCATTCAAATTCTCCCAACAGACTAATGATTCTATATGAGTGTTTCCCCATTTTTCATTCAGATCCTCCCTAAGTGATCAGGGCTCCAGCTTCATACTTACTTTTCCCAAATTCCATATAAGGATAAGTACAGAAAAGCAAATGAATCAAACTTTAATCATGCCAATTAAAGGAGAAAGAAGTATAAATTAGGTTTGGGGCTGAGTCATGATAATTTAATGACTACTCTTTCTTTAGCACTTCACAAATTAAAAAGTGCAACCTCCACCCCTGGGGTTCAAATGATTCTCAACCAAAGTTGATCAAAAATTATCAACTTTGATAATCTCTGACATTTCATAATCACTTTGTGAGATGATTATTACTATACCTATTTTACATTAAGAACCTGAGGCTCAGGTTATTGGGACTTGCCCAAGGTTATATTATTGTATAATAATAGTCTTCTGGCCCCAACCCCATTAAACTTCACTGTATTTCACTGTTTTCAAGGCCACATTGTAAGTTCATTTTTAAGACACGTAATGCACAAGGTATTAGCATACATTTTTAAGAAAAACAAATTCTAAGTTGTGAGTGTGTGTGTTTACTGAATCTTTAAGAAACCACTTAATCCAACAGAAAATAAATGTATTTCCCAGCTGAACAATGCATACCCCCCTCAAAAAAAAGACACATACATGTGTAACTATTTTAACAGTCTGCAATCTATTCTAATTATAATATAGCTAAACCCAAGTTGCTCCCGATCACTTTCTTCCCAGATCCAGTAGATAAGGTGTGTTCAGTATAAGAGCAGTGAAATCTTCTAAATAGTTTCTAGAGTAATATGGCAAACAATTAGAACTCAGAATAAAATACCATCTGTGTGCTAACTGTGCTGTGCCAGATCTAACAGCATACACAGTTTTTCTTTTTTTCTTTTTGAGACAGGGTCTCATTCTGTGGCCTATGCTAGAGTACAGTGGCACAGTCTCAGCTCACAGAAACCTCAACCTCCAGGACTCAAGCGATCCTCCCACCACCAAGTAGCTGGGACTACAGGCATGCGCCACCATGCCCAGCTAATTTTTGTTTTTTTTTGTTTTTGTTTTGTTTTGTTTTGTTTTTGTAGAAACAGGGTTGAGGGAAGGCACGGTGTGGCTCATACCTGTAATCCCACCACTTTGGGAGGCCAAGCCGGGCAGATCACTTGAGGCCAGGAGTTCATGCCTGGCCAACATGGCAAAATCCTGTCTCTACTAAAAATACAAAAAAAATAGCCGGGCGTGGTGGCACATGCCTGTAATCCCAGCAGAGGGAGGCTGAGGCACAAGAATCATTTGAACCCCAGGGGCGGAGGCTGCAGTGGGCCAAGATTGTGCCACTGCACCTGGGCAGTTTCACCACGTTGCCCAGGCTGGTCTCAAACTCCTGAGCCCAAGCAATCTGCCTACCTTGGTCTCCCAAAGTGCTGGGATTACAGACGTGCACCGACAGTTTTTCAACAGAATCTACCTTAGGAAGTTTGAGGATGCTGCAACACTCCTGCGCTCTAAAATGTACTACTGCATGAGGCAATAGAACATGTGGGAGTGAAGAGACCTAGGTGCTTCTCCCTATACTCCCACTAACTTAAGTCACCTCCCTCTCTCTTTGGAACTTTCTTACCTATAAAACAAAGATGAAATGGGATGGGCTCTCAAGGTTCATTCCAACTCTAACATTCTACTGTTCTAATTATTGTCTTAAGTCCTCAATGTAAAAGAGAATTTACAATAAACATATTTTCAAGATGCATAAAATCATTTTCTCTTGACCAAACTTACTTTGGTCAAGTGGCTAAATAGATATATGTCAAGCACTGAGGATATCACAACAATAAGATACACAGCCCATCCTCAATTCTAGGGTAGGATAAAGACCTATAATTAATTTCCATGTTATATGATTAAAGCTATGAGATGAGCACAGGTTTTACAGCAGTACAGATAAGATACCTAAATAAGGAGATGGAAATATGGGTGGATTTGAAGAAAAGAGTTCTTAGAGATTCTCATTTAAGGAAGATCATTTTAGAAGTCAGGTGGAAGACGAGTTTGAAGAGGGCAAGATTAGAGGAAGTCCAGGACACTGCAGAGACCACAGAAAACAGTCCAGATAACTGATGAGAGTCTAGAATATAGAAGTTATAAAGGATAAGGAAAAAAGCAGAGCAACTCGTTTATGAATAGTTTGTTCTTGACTTCAATATTGTCCATGAAATCTACTTTATATTACTTAAATCTTTTTACATAAATAACAAAAAGCAAATTTTAAACCAGTTCCTACCTAAATAACCACAATTCCAAAACAAACTTTAGGCTTCCCTTTTTTTTTTTTTTTTGAGAGGGAGTTTCGCTCTGTCGCCCAGGCTGGAGTGCAGTGGCACGATCCCGGCTCACTGCAACTTCTGCCTCCCGGGTTCAAGTGATTCTCCTGCCTCAGCCTCCCAAGTAGCTGGGATTACAGGCGCCCACCACCAGGCCCAGCTAATTTTTGTATTTTTAGTAGAGACAGGGTTTCATCATGTTGGCCAGGCTGTTCTTGAACTCCTGACCTCAGGTGATCCGCCCACCTCAGCCTCTCAAAGTGCTGGGATTACAGGCGTGAGCCACCGCGCCTGGCCTAGGCTTTTCCACTAATGAATAAAACAATTTACTCAAGGAAATATCTGATATTAAATGTTAATATCAAATTTTCCTCTTTACTCACATTCATAGTTCTCTGAAAAGTGAGAACTCACAGGACAGAATCAAAATTAAGAAAAAAAAATGTTTTAAGCAATGAATTCAAATTTTATATCAAAGGGCATAGCCAGAATACCAAAGTATATCAGGTGAGTGAAGGTCCAGGAATAAGAGACAAACGGAAAGAAACACATGAAACAAGGAACCCAAGATAAAAACCATATTTACTTACAGGATCAACAAAATCCATATTGAGTCCATAACAAAGCTTCTGGATTCGAGATGTAATTTTGTCAAACATGACTCGCTCTTGGCGGCCATCTAAAGAATCAAATCATGTTAGCAATTATTAAATTCTGTTAGCAATTATTAAGACTACAATGTCAAAGAATCAAATGTAATTAACATGTAAATTGACCAACATGAAATGCTATTTCACAGATAAGATTCAGGCCCCCTCAAAAGATTCATGACGAGATTGTCTTCTCTGATGTCACCTTCAAAGAGTATGAATTCTATACATACAGATATTTACAGATAACTTCCTAAATTCCCCCTCATCCCACATTGCAGCCAAAATTACCCTTTAAAAGTTAAACTCAGAATCATATCATTACCTTCCTCAAAACTCCTAATAGTGGCTTCTTATCTCCAGAATAAAAGTCAAAATTGTTAAAAAACAATCCACAGGCCAGGCGTGGTGGCTCACACCTGTAAGCCCAGCACTCTGGGAGGCCAAGGCGGGTGGATCACCTGAGGTCAGGAGGAGTTCTAGATCAGCCTGACCAATATGGTGAAACCCCGTCTCTACTAAAAATACAAAAAATTAGCCGGGCGTGGTGGCAGGAGCCTGTAATCCCAACTACTCAGGAGGCTGAGGCATGAGAATTGCTTGAATCCGGGAGGCGGAGGTTGCAGTGAGCTGAGATCACGCCACTGCATTCCAGCCTGGACAACAAGAGTGAAACTCCATCTCAAAAAAAAAAAAAACAAAAAACAAGAAATCCACAGAATCCTATACAACCTGTCCTGTGCACCCACCTCCCAATTTCACCTCCAACTCTCCCACCTTCCTTCCTATTCTACCTTGACAACCTGGCCTTCTTGCTATAGATCTCCTTTAGGTCTTTTGCTCAATGTCATCACCTTCTCAATGAGGCTTTCCCTGATGATTCCATTTTAAATTGCAATGCCCCAAATAGGGCCCTTGCTCTTCTTATCTCCCTTCCCCTTCTGTGCTTTTTCTCCATAGCGCTTATCCCATCTGACATACTATATATTTTACCTAATATTTTTCATGATTTTGGACTTAGATTATATCTTTGTCCTTCTAGACAAAAGTCTTACTACTCTTAGTTTAACCTCAAATAGTAGCTCATCCGACCTTTATTTATTCTTACCAGGAATAGTGAATATATCAAACCACCAAACAGCCTTAATCCTAGGCAAGCCACAAAACATAATCAGTCATTTCACAGATCTTCATTTGTAGAAAAGGGTTAATTATTATATCTATTCTATTTGCCTCACCAGTTTACTGTGACAATAAAATGAGATAAGGTAAAAAGTGCTTTTGTTGTAACAACTTTGGCATAGTCACAACTATGATACCTCATTATAAAATAAAGCTGCTCCTATGGGGAAAAAAATCACAGTATGTGATACACAATAGGCACTCAATAAATATTAGTGTCTCACACTGATTTAGTTTTTGTCTCCTTTGTGCACCCACAATCCATTGTAACTATAGGCTGAGTATCCTTAATCCAAAATTCCAAAATCCAAAACACTCCAAAATCCAAAACTTTTTCAATGCCAACACAATGTTCAAAGAAAATGTTCCTTGGACCATTTCAGATTTTGGATGTTCTGATTAGGGATGCCCAACTGGTAACTATAATGCGAATATTCCAAAATCTGAAACAAATCCAAAATCTGAAACACTTCTGGGCCCAAGCATTTTGGATAAGGGATACTCCAAAATGAGTATCCAATGGTTACTCAAAAATGAGTATTGGTAACCAATAAGAAACATGTTAAATATATTTACATTTGGCCCTCTCATTCACATCTGTATTCTCAAATTTAGTGCCTAGAACAAGGCAAGTTCTCAAACATTTGATGAAGAATAAATGAACAATAAGACATCACTATTAAACCATTATCACTAGAACAAGTTGCTTTTTCTTCTACACTGATATATTAGCCCTTCTCTTTCTGATCACCATTGTGATAATTTTCTGATTAGGCTCACATTTGCAGCATTTAACTCTGGAACAGGGTAAATTAACTGGCTGGCACTGGGACTGAAACCTCAGTGCTCTGGCAATTGGAAAACTAAGCAGGCAGGTAACCACAAAGCAACATTAGCGTTCTGCAATTATACATGGAGTGGCGGGGGAAAGCAACTTAGCAAAAAGAAAATTCTGCAACTGCCAGAAGTTCTGAAGTCAATCAGGAAACTGACAAAAAAAAAGTGCATTGGTAATTAATCTTAACTCACACGTGAGAATAGGAGGCAGACTAAAGATCTAAAGGTCCAATGACACGCGGTTCTCTATTCTGTCATTCCACTTGGTTAGTTTTTCAAGCCAGATGTCGATTTTATAACATCAGTAATCCCTGCTTCTCACTGCCTACATTATCCTCTTCTCTCAAGTAAAGTCTTTCTTAGTTTGGCCCCAGATCTCTTCTACTGTTCCCTGTGAAATGTAAGTCCCAAGAAGGCTTCCCATTCCCATATCCACATCATTGCTTATACCGTACTCTGCCTAAAAGTTCCTCTTCCACATTTCCATACATCTAACTCCTGAGGCAGGCGGATCACCTGAGGTCAGGAGTTCGAGACCAGTCTAGCCAACATGGTGAAACCCCATCTCTACTAAAAATACAAAAAAAACACAATGAGCTGGGTATGCTGGCAGGTGCCTGTAATCCCAGCTACTCGGGAGACTGAGGCAGGAGAATTGCCTGAACCCGGGAAGCAGAGGTTGCAGTAAGCTGAGATCACACCACTGCACTCCAGCCTGGGCGACAGAGCGAGACTCCATCTCAAAAAATAAAAAATAAAACAAAAAATCCTCTAGCATACTAGTGTGATTTCCTCTTGACTATAAACTGTCTTTCATTCTTCTCTCTTCAGGAAGATGTCCCTAATCCTGTAAGACCAAGGATGCGTGCCTTTTCCACAAGATACAAACTTTGTAATTTCCTCTGCCGAGAATGTTCAGGCCACAGATCTCACATTACTAGCTCTTAGTACTATTTAGGGTTCAGCTCAAATGTTGGCTTCTCAGAGAAGCCTTTCCTGGCTACCTAATCCAAGGTTATTTTCTCATTCATCTTTATCACATGATCCTGTTTTACTATCATCTCATTAATCAGTATCTGAAATTAACTGATTATTATGTTTACTTATTTCTTATATACACTTACCACTCCCACCCACACCAAGTTGTAAACTCAATGAGAAATGTAATTTAGCTTTGTTCACTGCAGAATCTCTAATGCCTACAACAGCTCCTAGCACAAAGAGATGCTGAATAAATGCTTTATGAATAACTGAATGAATGGCCTCTACTGCCTATACTTTACCTCTCAGAGTATTTATCATTTCTTATCATATTACTTCTTTATTTGTCTATCTTTCTCAATTGATTGTAGGATCTTTGGAAGCTGGAACCATGTCTGCCTACTCATCACAGGAATCCCAGTACACAGCACAGTATCCACACACAGAGTTGTAAAATAATATAGCAGGCTGTGAATGGAATAGGAAGGAAGGAAGGAAGGAAGGAAGGAAAGAAGAGGGGAGGAAGGGAGGGATACGGAAATAATCTGGAATAAAAGAAAGATTAGAGTGCAAATGGATGCTTTCGAAGACATTATTTCGTAAACTTTTGTATCATTTTATGTGTATCCACATATATACACGTATGTCTGTAAAACGTTTTGTTTTTTACTGCGAGTTACAATCCAAAGTTTTGAAAATACTACACTAAATTCCAAAACAGTTTACAACTCAGTCAGCTACTTTGTCATTTACTGCAATGGTTCTCAGTGTTTATTTTTTTAACCATAATCTCCTTGAGGAATGACATTCTCCCATTAGGAAAAACAGCTCAAGATAGCAGATGAAAAAAACTCATCTACTATTCTCTTCTAACAATTTTCATATGGATTGTTCCTAAATCCCTAACAATTTTAAGTTCTTTAAAGACAGAGCTGCCTTCTCCATTACTGCCCTCACAGTGTTTAGCAAGACATTAGCACATTCAGTAGGTACTTGAAAGTCAACTTCCAGTTGCCCTTCTGAATAATTATATTAAAAATAACAAACCCTAGCTGGGCATGGTGGTGCACATCTGTAGTCCCAGCTACTGAGGAGGCTGAGGCAGGAGAATCTCTTGAACCCAGGAGGCACAGACTGCAGTTGAGTTGAGATCATGCCACTGCACTCCAGCCTGGGTGACAGAGCAAGACCCCATCTCAAAAAAAAAAAAGAAAAAATTAACAAAAACTATAGGAGTTAGTCTGATATTTCACTGACATGCCAAAAATAAGAGGGGACAAAAAAAGTCCAGAAAACCAAAAACCCTATGCATATTAAAAAACCATAAAAATAAAATATAGAAACATAGAAATATAAAAAAAATAAAGAAAGAAATCTAAGTACATGTTGTACATTAACAAGTGTTGCTGAATGCTACAACGGCAGAATCTACAGCATGAACCATCTGGATCAAATTATGCTCTATGAAGGAATGAGAAACAAAATAAGCTCGGCTTTTTAGTTAGTTGTAGCTAGCACTTTTTTTTTTTGAGACAGGGTGTCACTCTGTCACCCAGACTGGAGTGCAATGGCACAATTTCAGCAACCTCTGCCTCCCAGGCTCAAGCAATTCTCCTGCCTCAGCCTCCTGAATAGCTGGGATTACAGGCGCAAACCACTACCCTCCAGCTAACTTTTGTATTTTTAGTAGAGACGGTTCCACCATGTTGGCCAGGCTGGTCTCAAACTCCACACCTCAAATGATCCACCGGCCTTGGCCTCCCGAAGTGCTGGGATTACAGGTGTGAGCCACCACTCCCGGCCAAAGTAGCACTTTTTAAACAACAGTATTTAGAAGTAGACTCAAAATGTTAAAAATTCAACACAGAGTTGAATTTTATCCATTCTGGTCATCTAAGTCCATACATTTTCAATTTATCTTTGTTACTAACTTATCATAAACCATCCTAAACATCTCTCCCATATCTAATGATTTAAAAAATAGATGCTCAAGCCAGGTGCGGTGGCTCCCAGCACTGTAATCCAAGCACTTTGGGAGGCTGAAGTGGGAGGATTGCTTGAGCCCAGGAGTTCAAGACCAGCCTGGGCAGCATAGCGAGACTTCGTCTCTAAAAAAAAACTAATAAATAATAATGTAAAAAAATAAAAATACAAAAATAGATGCTTAGCTCTCACTCTTAGGAATGGATCAATAAAAGATTTTGCTCTTTGGTCAGCTAAAATGGGAGCTAGGAAAATTCAGAGAATGATGTTCTCAAGATACCAAAAACAAGAAGGGCCACTACTGTCCACCTTTCCAACTCTTGTCTGTAGTTAAACCAATCTGGACATTGGCTGTAGTTAAACCAAATCAACTACCTGCTTATGCGCAGCACTCATCATGTCCTACATTTTGATACAATTATTTTCTTTCATTCTTTAAGAATCTATTCACGTCAGGTCCTGTGCTAAATGTGAGCAGAAAAGTCTCCATCTTGCTTGTATTCCCAGCACTTTGGGAAGCCAAGGAAGGGAGGATGGCTTGAGGCCAGCAGTTCAAAGCCAGCCTGGGAAACACAGCAAGACTCCTTCACTACCAGAAATTTTAACAAATTAGCCACCCATGGTGGTGCATGCCTATAGTCCTAGCTACTTGAGAGGCTGAGGCAAGAGCATCACTTGAGCCCAGGACTTCAAGGTTACAGTGAGCTATGATTACACCACTGCACTCCATCCTGGGTGACAGAGCAAAACTCTGTCTCAAACAAATCTCCATCTTTGATATGTTCACAGCCTACAGGACAAAACAGAAACAACCAGTCGATCAACCAGTATTTACCAAGTGCCTACAATTTTGAAATAATTGTATTGCTTTAACAAAGGCAAGTAGGTTCAACTCAAAACTTGTTCATACATATCTCATGTGGCTGTTAAAAGTATGTTGCTCTTGTTTTTCCAACCCGATTAAGCCTATTCCCAAGGCAGGGACTGTCTCCTCTTATAATCTCACAAAGCCAAGCAAAGGACTGGGCACAAAGCAGGGACTCAGCAAGTCTAATGAAAAGGAACTGTTGAGAAAGCATACAAGTTCCTGACTCTTCCCAGTCCCCATCTTGTCAGAAGATGTCTCAACCAACCTTCTCTGATTCAGTATCTCTTGCCATGAAGGGAAAGGAACTCCAGGATGCTGTCTGTCTGGGATCTGTTTTTTCCACCCCACACTCCTATCCTCACCCCACACTCCTATCCTCACCCCACAAAAGAGATCAGTAAACTGACAAGTGGCTATGTAGGGTAAAGAGTCCCCCTCCTTCTTTCCTAGCTGCCCCCCCACCCGGTGCCTAAGACAGCTCACCAACCCCACGGTTTTCCAAATCAAACTGTGTTGTCAGCTATGGGTGACTTTGGGTCAGTCGCCGAAACCTCGCTCTGAGCTTCAGTTTCCTCATCTGTAAAGTGGAGCTAATAATCTCTCTCTCGGAGGCTTGTAGAGAGGAATAAAATAGTGCCTGGAAAGTGCTCGGCAGTCACTACTCGATACAGGGCGTTATCCTTTTGAAAGGCGGCAGGATGACAAAGCCGAGGGGGCGCAGCCTGAAGGCCCGAAGGAGGTTCGGGGCAGGCTGACTGAAGACAGAAGGCCGAGCGAGCTGACAGGGCGGAAGGCCGCGGCGGGAAAGGCGGGAAAGGCGGGAAGCAGCGGAGGCGGGCGGGAAGCAGCGGAGGCGGGCGGGCGGGAAGCAGCGGAGGCGGGCGGGCGGGTCGGGCATCAGCTCCGGCGGCGGCAGCCCGCGTCCCCTCACCTCCCTTCTCGCCCACGTCGTTGCCCTCTCACCTCGCTTGATCACATGCATCGCAGCTAGTGGATGAGGCTCTGAAGGATCGGAGACTGGACTGCGGCTCTAAAGCGCCGGCGGGATCAAGAAGGTGACAGAGTAGGAAGGGTTAGGTTGCAGGCGCTGGTCAAGGACAGGAACTGGAGTTGGAGCCAGACAGCACTTTCTCCAGAGCAGAGGCGCAACAATCCAAATCCCCTTCCCGCGCCCGCCACCCGTGACGCACAAAGGGGTGCGACGCGGTTCGAATGACGTTAGTCGACGCTGCGGCCCACGCCTGGGGTAGGCTTCGCAGACTAGTTCAGGCGCCTTGTAGCCGCCATGTTGAGTCTGGGCAAGACACAGAAGACTACGCCTCTCCCATGGGCCCCGTTGGATGTGGACATGCCCGGCGGAAACGCTGCTCTCCTGCCGCCATGTTTTGTGTGGGCAAGCCGAATTTGGACGCCTTGGGGCCCTGGCGTAACACCTAGAGCCTGCTAGGTCAGGCGCCGCCCTTGTCGCCTGCGTGTCTCCGCCGGAGGAAAGGCGGTTCACTTATTTTGTTGCTTTTGAAATAACAAAACCTAACTGGCCGGAACGTTTTTCTTGCTTTGACATTTATTGTAATAATCCTAACACTGCCGTCCGCTGTGGGCTCAAGCCTAGGCTCTACAGCCGTGGGCAACTTGGAGCCCCAGGGCTTTCAGATCGGCCAGAAGACTGGCACTCAGGAACTGGAAGAAAACCGCGCAAGGCCAATGGCGTTTGGATTTTATCCTGACGCAAATCAGATCCCTGAGAGAATTTTAAGCAGGGCAGGGTCAGTACACATTTGCTTCTGGGGTTCTTCAGTGGATGGTAGCAGAGAAAGGGTATTTGCCTTGTGGAGGTAGGATGGACTTGGTGACTTAAAGTGGTGAATAAGAATAGATGAGAACCCTAATATGCAAGGCTGGTGTAGAAGCTTCTGATTTGGGCTACCCAAAGCGATCTTTATGAAATTTCATCTGTGGCATCTTTTCCCTAAAGCCTTTTCGTTGGTTTCTCACTACCCTCTAGAAGCTGCCCAAGCTTCCTGTGAAGTAATTTGAAAAATCATGGAAAGTTATAAGTGAGCCTGTAATCGCAGCATCTTGGGAGGCTAAGGCGGGAGTATCATGTGAGACCAGGGGTTGAGATAAGCCTGGGCAATATAGCGAGACCCCCATCTCTACAAAAAATAGAAAAATTAGGACAGCGCGGTGCCTCACTTCTGTAATCCCAGCACTTTGGGAGCCTGAGGTAGGCAGATCACGAGGTCAGGAGTTCGAGACCAGCCTAACCAACATGGTGAAACCCTGTCTCTAACTAAAAATACAAAAAGTAGCCAGGCATGGTGGCACGCACCTGTAATCCCAGCTACTCAGGAGGCTGAGGCAGGAGAATCGCTTGAACCCAGGAGGCAGAGGTTGCAGTGAGCCAAGATCACACCATTGCACTCTAGCCTGGGCAAGAGAGCAAGACTCCGTCTCAAAAAAAACGAAAAAGAAAAATTAAATAGATGTTTTTTAAAAGTCATAAGTGAAGTTATAGGATAGATAGGGTCAAGTTTACCCAGACATAGGGTTTCCCAATTTAGCAAATAAAAATGTGTCCCAGACACTCCATGAGAGAAAATTATACTTTAAAAACTGTTTATCTGAAGTTCAGATTTAACTGGTCGCCCTGCATGTATCTGGTAACCCTGCCCACAGAGCTTCTGGGTATGTGCATTCAAGTTTCATTTTCCCTGGGCAAAGGAAAGATAGTCTCTTCATCCCGTCATGCCACAGCACAGAGAACACAATGAGAGTCAAAGCCAGCAGGGGTTAAAATCTCCTACATGCTTTATTGGAGTCTTATGAAATAACACAGAAAACCCCATTTGAGGGTGTCCAGGGGGTACAAGGCAGTCTACAACCTAGCACCCTCCTAAGACCAGCCCCAGGTGCACCCACCCTAGGCCCAAAATAGGATCCCAGGATAAAGGCATGGCAGGGAGTGGGGCAGAGGGAAAACACCTTTACAGCCATAGCAAAAACAGGTAAGGGAGAGAGTTGTATAGAGGGTGGGAAGGGTGGGGGGAAGTGGTCACACAGCCACCTTCACCTATACCATCTTCCTTAGCCACCCCTCCCCCAAACTGGTTGTGTCCTTTTTGAGCCTCTGGCCAAGGCTACAAAGTAACATGAAAATGGGATCTAACAAGGGGAATATGCAGCGTAGGCACTTGGGAAATTCAGGAGATTTTTTTCCTTTTAACTTGTTTGTCTTTTGGTTCAAAAATATGACAGCATCCTTGCCCAACAACTCCAGGGCTCCATAAGAGCCCTGTATCATGGCTGTGGCTCCCCGGGCCAGGGGAGCCACTTGTCCTGAGCCCCAGGAGTATTGATGCTTGGGGAGCTTTGGGGCAGCACCTCTTAGAGACAAACCCTCCTGCAGTGTGGGGGAGCAGGGGTAAGAGGGAGGCAGGTGTGGGTGGGAGAAGAGAGAAAAAGTGACTGCCTTATAACCTACAGTTCTGGCATCCACTCATGCTCCAATGAAGAGAGGCCTCTTCCAACCCATCCCCAAGCCTCTCTTTAAAAGTCTCTGGTGGGTTGTTCTCTGAGAATTGGTTTCACTCCCCCATGGACTCCTGGAAGCCTGAGTGAGATCTAGGATGAGGTTCCTTCTGACCCACAACAATACCAAAGAACAAATCCCAAAGATTAGGCCCTGGCCCCAGTCTGGAGCAAACAGAACCACTGTGAGTGGGGTGGAACGGATCTGAGGCAAACATGTCAGAAGTTACTCCTCCTATCTTCCCTGTAACTGCTAGGGGAAGCTGGGGAGTGGTGGGAGGGAGGAGCCTGAAAGCAAGAGACAGAAACAAGAAACCAAACCGCAAAACTGGGACAGCAGAGACAGAAGCTGAACCCCAGAGGTGGAGCTGGGAGCTGAGGGAACAGCAACTAAGACATGCACTGAAGTGAAGAGGGAGTGACAGCAGCAGCCCATGGTTGGGAGGGAGGCAGGGCAGGCAGGCCATGGTGGTCAGTTAATAAATAATAATGAAGGACCCAAGGATGTACAGTGCAGGTATATACAGTGCCCAGACCCCTGGACCAGCCCTTCCCATGCCCCACTCTTGGGGCCAGTTATCTTGAAGGGAGGGAGGGAAGGAGAGGCAGAAGACCCAGGGAAGGACAAGCTGTCCCATTACTGCCACCCCCATCCTGCCTACTTCTTAAGAGGCTTCTTAAAGATTTTGAGGGGAAACTTCTTCCGGCCTGGGCTGGAGTCTGTCTCCTCGCCAATAGAGCCATTATCCTCCTCAGCCACAGCCTTCTTGCCAGCCAGGTGGGGAATGCGTGTGTTTCGGCTGGCTTGCAGGGCTCGGCTGTCCCCAACTGGAGATGGCGTGTCTGGGTCTGGGGAACTGGGGCTGTGAGAACGGGAAGAATCCAAATGTGGAGAGCCACCAGGTGGGGCTGAGGGGCTCAGCTCCATTAGGCTGTGGGCCTTGTCCAGCCCATGGTTCAGCGCCAGTAATGCCTTGGCCAGGGCAGGGCTGTCAGGCAGTTTCTCCATCAGAGACCCTGGGTGGACCCCCTCGATCAGCCGGTGGCTGCCATTGGAAGTCATGGCATTGAGAGCCTCGTCTGCGGCACGGCTCATCTGAGGAGGTTTGGGGGCCACACGCTGGCGGTCACTCATGTGGAGGGAGGACTCCGAATCGGAATGGGTCAAATCCCTGCAAGACATGGGGCAGAGAGGAAGAAAGGGACATATATTGGATGGGGTGATGGTGGAAAGGTGAAGAGGAGAAAGGGACAACACAAGAAGACAAGGACAGGGTAGGAAAATGGGGATAGAGCGGCAGGAGAGAGAAATAGGATGAACAGGCAGGTGGGAAGGAGAGAGGAAAGAGGAATAGACAGAAGTTGAGCAGCCGTAAGTACAGGATAAAAGAGGAGGCAGGAGGAGGGAATGAGGATAGATTGGAAAAGAGACAGGGAAAGGAGAGTAGAATTGTAGAGGAAGAAAAGCAAAAGGATAAGCAGGTAGAAAGAAGGGCCAAGAGAGAAAGACAAGAAAGGGAAAAGTGATGGGGAGAGAAGAGAGACAAGAAACAAAAACAAAAAATGCCATCATCTGTCTGGCAAATGGTTTTCCAATACCTGGGCTCCACAACTGGCGAATGCTCTGGCTCTGAACTGGTGCAACCATAGGCTTAAATTCCACAGGTATCCTCCTCAATAAAATCTCTGCCTTCTCATAGCTGGCTAGATTTCCTGGGACTCAATCTTAAGCTAACACAGAACCCACATACTGCTCCGGGTCACCATTTTCCATGCCTTCCTCCCCTACTTACTCCTGTCACACCTTAGGATATTATCCAGTCTGGGTCAGGCCCCAAGGAACAGGGCACATGCAGTCAGTGGACCTGACCCAGGCTGGGGATGAGAAGGTTAGAACAGCCTTGCAAAAAATCCTTCAGTCACCCCAAAAGGCCAGGATGCTGCCTCTTCTAACTATCTCACAGGATTCAAAGGAGGTCATAGATAGGTATTGCAGAGTTCAAACCAAAGTCTGTGGTGCGGCAGGAAGGGTGGGGTCTCTTACAGACCTCTGCTGACAGGGAGAACGTAGGGAGGCATAGAAAGACAGGATGTTGGCCTTTAAAGAGCAATGGTTCAGAAGAGTTCTGGACTCTTCTGTGCGATCTTGGACAAGTCATCTAAACTTGCTAGTTCTTAACTTTGGCCCAGTGAAGATAATACCAATTCAATTTATCTTACAAGACTGTTTGGAGGATCAAATATGCTGGCAAAGCACTTGGAAATGTAGAAATTATTGTGGGAATGAAGATGATGAGGCCTGCCAAGCTGAAAGGCCTATGTAAGGGCCGGTCACAAGAGGCTTCTTTGCAAGGCTGAGTTATGGAGACATGCCACCGCACATTGGACATGCACACACACAGGCTAGTCTAGGAACTTGAGACCCTTTAAGGAGCTGGTGGTTCCTAAGCCATGAATCAATTCCAGATGCCACTCCTCCTGCTCTACAGACAAAAAGGTAGATATGGAGGTGCTCTCTCTGCCAATCCTGAATCCTCCTTCTGCCTTCCTAGAGGCCTGAGAACTTCAGCAAAAGCAGAGAAGAGAGCTAAGGGAAATGTTTAAACATCTGCTAGCCAAAGGGGAAGAGTCATGAGTGGGAAAGGAGACCACCATAGGACCTAGAAAGAAAGAGGCTGAGGGTCAGAAGTTAGGGAGGGTACCAGGCCCCTGAAACAGGCAAAAGCAGGGGGTTGACTCATAGCTATTGTAGACTTAATTCTCAGTAGGAAGCAAATAACTAAGTAGCCACCCCATGGGCCAGTACCTTCCTGGACTCAGCAGGCAGCAGAGAACAAGTCCAGCTCAGCTTCCATTCTACAAATATTGTTTTAGCCACATATTCTAGTATTTACAAATATTCAGTCTCATATTTGGTTTCATATATCTGACACTGTCCTTGCTTCTAAACTTGTCCTTGTTTCCCTAAGCCCCAAGATGATCCTCTCCATATGTTGCCTTCTCCAAACACTATTATAAACCAAGGAGCAAGGTGCCAAGGAAGTTTTGGGGAGCAATCACACTGAGAAAAGGGGTCCTCTAAGCTAAGGAAGTGAAGATCCTGGGATCCTACCCTCTCTAACACCAAGGAGGAGAAATCAGGAGGTTAGGGCCTTCCCAGCCTCACTTCTCCTGGACCACACCCCTATTTGGTCTTGATTCCTATCCATCTTTTTATTTATTTATTGACAGGGTCTTGCTCTGTCGCCCAGGCTGGAGTGCAATGGCGTGATCTTGGCTCACTGCAGCCTCGACCTCCCAGGCTCAAGTGATCCTTCTGCCTGAGCCTCCCGTGTAGC